GGCATCACCTCTTTCAGTTTATTATTAGCCCAGATCAGTTTACTACTTGTGTTGTAATGACTTAACAAAATAGATGTTGTATGCATAAAACATTAAACACAAACTTTTCAAGATGCACATATGTTCAAAACCTTGATTTGAATTCTGTTTTGTAAATCTTGTTATTGTGGAATTTAAAATTGCTAACATGCATTTGTTACAGAGAGTCCACATAGCTAATATTATTTTATTAAGAATTGCCACATCCCTTTCAGAGAGTCCACAAACCCAATATTTTTCCTTTAAATTTGTTAACGTACATCTCTTTCAGAGAGTCCACAAAGCTAATAGTGTTTATGAAGAATTGTGTTTATGAAGAATTGTAAACCCCACATCCCTTTCAGAAAGTCCACAAACCCAATATTGTTCCTTTAAATTTGTTAATGTGCATCTCTTTCAGAGAGTCCACATAGCTAATATTATTTATTAAGAATTGTAAAAGCAGATTCTCTTTCAGAGAGTCCACTTAGCTAATGGTGTTTATTAAGAATTGTAAACGCAGCATCTCTTTCAGAGAGTCCACATAGCTCATGGTATTACGTTGGTAGTGATGATTCTCTAGTATAACCTTTTAACCATTGCTTGAGTGATAACTGGTATAAAATTACCCCAGGGTTGTATGTTATGACATGAAATTGGCAGTTTGTAATTCTGGCCTCCTCTTTTGTTACATCTCCAGGAAATCTTGGCAGTAATGAAATTCTATAATTGAATTGTTTCAAAATAAAGATATTACATTTCTTTTGTATCTGCTGATTGTAAAAATTTGCTAGATTAGTGAAAGTTTTCCAAGTTTCAATTTAAATTGTTTTTTCTTCTGTAGATAACAACTGCAATTAGATTTGAAAAGATTTCAGATTTTCTTTTTTGAAATGATGATAGTCTGCTTTTCTCTGGTGCAGTCTGCACCATGTAGATCTAGTTTTATCTGGTTTTATTTTAGTTCAGGTCAGGTCTAGATGTCAATTTAAATGTGGTTCTACATGTACTATAGTGCAGTCAACTTTTCAAATGACGCTAGAAAATTGTACCTGAGGATGAAATATGGAGATTAAGAAACCCCAAGTACTAATGATCCTAACTGCAGATCGAAACTCAAAATCCAGAATAACAGTGGTAATACATTGGTAGCAGCAAATGAACTTTTCATATGAGGAAGTATATCAATTATAAATGAGGAAATATTTCATTATAAAAAGTTATATCAGGTGTCTAGAAGAGTTAGCAAACACTGCTTGGCGCCACACCTGTGGAGAATGAAACAACATTTGGTTATTATGGCATAAGACATTGGTAGCCTACAGGACTAGAGTAGCACAGAAATACTGGCCAATTATCTAGAAATCAATTGGCATATTTGCTGATAATGTTATAATGATACTGTAGTTTATTATGATGGTACTAATCTACTAATAATCAGTATTCTAGATGATTTATTCCTGAGATGATAATAGACTGGGGCGCCGTCATCAAAATCAGGATTAATCATCTTTTACTGCTAGGTATAAGGGGCTGAGAGCTGACACCCAGCCAACTCTCGGAAGTACTGACAGAGGTATCAGAATTTTTCCTTACCTTAAGGAGGATTCCTTATTGCCTAACAGACGACAATCCTCACCACCAACTGAGCTATTCCACTGCCACTAATTAGGGAAGGCTTGAGCTGGCTGGTTAAGAGAATTATTATATAATTGATATATTTAAGATTTTCTAGTTAAAATATTAGTTGAATTTCTGCCCTGTAGAATAAAATATGTTGCTAAGAAACTGAATTAAATCTGTTTATTTTGGCTAGAGTTTGGAATGAAAATATAGAAATAAATTAAACTATTAAACTGGAGTCTGGTGATTTGATTGAGTCAGAAAGAAACAGAGTATTACTATGTCTAATTACCTTCGTTTTAGACAAAAATAAATATTTTATGTCACATAAAAAAATAAACCTATTTTTCAGGAATGGCTGATTAACCCAGAAGAATTCTAAGAATCTTTTATAATTCTAAGAATCTTTTATAATTCTAAGAATCTTTTATAATTCTAAGAATCTTTTATAATTCTAAGAATCTTTTATAATTCTTAGAATCTTTTATAATTCTAAGAATCTTTTATAATTCTTAGAATCTTTTAGAATTCTTAGAATCTTTTAGACTAAGATATCTTCTTAGTAAATTTCTTAAGAAAACATGTTCACATAATTTGCAGGAAATAAAATGCATTTTGACTTTCTTACAGGGAATTTCTCAAATCCTCTATAAAATCAAATACACCATAAGACTACAATCTTAACTATTTTCTTCTTTCACTTTAATCCAATTATGCATTCAAATAGAAATACATAAATACTAAACATTTATTGACATAGACATCTAGAAACCCATCATTAAAAATATAAAGCTATCATAGAACATTAAAGATATCATGAAACATTAGAGATATCATGAAACATTAAAGCTGTCATGAAACATTAGCTTGACATTTTGATAATTTCTACAGTTACTATTCACATTTCAAATATGTTTCGTTGCTTGAAATTACCTAATCCAAACCTGTTATTCAAAATGGCTTCTTTTTGTCTTTTCAGATTTGCTGACGATTCTTACGGAGCTTACAGGAATAAATCGATGCGAGTTCCAGGATCATATAAACGATCAGTGTCAGACGTCAATGTGCACTTACATCTGGAGAATTCCGAGGCCAGGGTGGAAGATATGGGTCAGGAGAAAAAGAAACTAGGTCACACGACGTGGAACAGTGAATCTTCTCTATCTGGTGCCGTCTCCCAACCAAAACGTCCACGAGATGTTCCCAGTGATAATATTGGAGGTGTTCCGTCATTTAAAGTAGAGAGTACGTCACGAAGTGTCATCAAGGGAACAGTCGAACCTCTTGTTCCCCCGAATCGTTTTACAAATGTGATTCCCAATAATTCATTACATTACAGTGCTCAGAACAAACCGTCTTTAACAAACATAACAAGTGTTGGTGCTCCGAGATCTGGACCGAGAGTTCCTAATTCCACCGGAGACAAGGGCGCTGCACGATCGCGGGTACAAATGATTGAAAAGAAGGGACCAATCACAAAGTCTCAAACAGAGGCTGATCGCTCTGTTGCAGAATGGCTGAACAAAAACGAAACAATCCCCAACTCTCCAGTAAGTTCTGGTCTTCAACCCAAAAACATAAACGAGAATCTCAATGTACAGAGAAGTAAAACATTTAACACGCCTCGATCTCAGAATGAGGCTAAAACAGTGAATTCTGGGAAACATTATTCACCGCAGGACGAGATAAAGAAACGAAGTGCATTCAATTCTCCCATACCATATGGTACCCACCACTACCAATCCAGCTATGCACCTGTCAACATTGCTACATCTCCACAAAACCCAATACCAAGTCTTTCTCATTCAAATCTGCCAAAAGACGGGAACAAACCAGTCCCTCTAGAACGTGCTTCAATAAACTCTAGATCTACTGAAATGTCCAATAGTAACTCAGACCGACATGCGAGGAATTCACCCACTGATAAATCCCCAGCAGCAAAATCAGCGAGATACAGTGGGGAATTCATTCGTGACAGAAAAAGTGATAATTTCCGAGTGAACAATCCTCAAAACAATGACAAATTATTAAAAACAAAGGGAGGCTATTCTAATGACATGACTCAGCGTGAAGTAAAGGGAAATAACTCCCCAGTAAACTCTAACAACCAGTCTTTCGTAATTTCGTCCAATAGTGCTAAACAATTGTCGCCTTCCCATAATGTCAGTCTTTCCTCTCCAACATCCAAAACTCCATCTCCATCAGTGCAATCAATTAACTCTTCAATTGAAAAGAGCATAAGTAGTAGCTCGTTGCCACCGGGAACTGTGGTGTGTCATGGCCGGCAGCGTTCCCAAGAGGAACTGGACTGTGATCAAAAAGCCAAGGAATTGGCGAAAGAACTGAATGAGCAGGATAAGAAATTATCGGACGTGTTAGTCCAGGATTCAAACACAAAGCGTATGCAGTACATGGATGGATTATTTATTGAACCTGTGAAACCACGGAAACTGTCGTCTGATGAAAGTGAGAAAAAGATTCCAAGTCCGTCTGGTAAAAATCAAGAAAATAGGGATCATTCGTAAGTTATAATTGAAATTTTTATCTATTTGTAGGCGTACAATGCCTGCACTTAATATGCATTAAGAGAGCAAAAATATATATTTGACTATTGCTCATCTCAAGTTGCCAACCCATGTTTCAGATATAAAATCCTCATCAGGATAGTTTTGGAAATGAAAGTTATATATAAGAATTTTGGTGTATAAGCAAAACAAGAGAAATCACTGAATTGATAAGGGATATTGACTGGACTGTAGTGGCCAGTCATGTCTGACCGAAGCTCCCAAATTCTGTTTGGATGTTGCTTTTAGTATGTTTGTTTGAATAGAAGTTATTTTATGCAGACTTCCAAATTACCAGTAACTATACAATTCCTCAAATGTTATATTGTTGTATATTTTCAGTAATAACCTACCAGCCTCTTACTATACATCCCCACCGAAAGCTCTGATAGAAATACAGCTACGGAATAATAATGATATTAGTAAGGATCTAGAGAAAGAGATCGTTAATGATAATTCTGGTTTGATCAAACAAAAGGTTTGTATTTGTATAACTTAACTATCGTTTTTTCTCGTTTTACAAGTTGCGTCCAACATTAATTGTTGGTAAACAGAGAAAGACTCAAATTGAATATTGGTTTACTCGCCCAATTTTTCGCTTTTTTATCCATTTGATTTGTCAATATCAAGAGTGAAAAGGTTAATTTAATTTCCTGTAAAGCACTGGCCATGTACAAAAAAAATATAAAGATCTGATAAATTGAGAATGCATCTCCAAAAATCAAGATGAAATCTTTAGGATATATTACAGAGATTCGTGTCTAAAAATTTTAAAGATTTTTTTTGTAATTATAGGAAGAGTTGATGGAGAAGTTACATACAAAATTGGATATTCTGCGGAAAGAAAAATCGGCTTTGGAACAGGAAATCGGCGAGAATGATCAACTTGGAGAAAAGGTAGGTTGACTACTAATGAAGTAGACATTAAATAAGTCACCCTGGCTGGATCATATAGGATGGAAGACACAACCCATGGACACACATTGACTTAAAGACTCACATTTCAATAGTTAGTTGTGAACACCATTACTGATTATCTTAAGGTGCCAGCACACAAGCAGTCGTGGTCGGAGACTTTTGTCGCCAATTAGAGTCTTGTCTTGAGTTTCTACCACTGGCACAAGCACACGAGGAGACAAAAATCTCCAGTTGGTCGGTTTCCATCTGGTCAATAATCACGAGCAGAACATGCAATTGAAAAGAAAAGGAATCTGATTGGATGATGATGGTTTGTCTTGAAGGCAATAAAACTTTTGTGTAATTTTTGAGTCTTTTCATCTTTCAGATGACAGAGATTGTGGAGTCACAATGTGAACAGAAGTCCGAACAAGATAAATATAAACATTTCATCCAGGATCAGGAGAAGATTGTCCGTCTGCTACTCAATCTGGCTGGTCAGTTAGCTCGAGCTGAAAACGCTGTTCAAAGTCTCAATAATTCTACTAGTCCAAATATTAAGGTGAGTCTCCTTGCTTTTCTTTGAGGAAACCTGACTTCAGAATAAGGCCCAAAATACGTTATTTTTATCATCATTTGGTGGATTTTTTGCAACAGTTTAAATGTTCTCACTTCAAAACAGAATTATGAATATGTTGTTGCATTACAAATAAATATTTCAGTTATTTTGTCTTTGCTGGTGACATTTTACTTACAGTTGTCTAAATATTTTCTTTACCTGCTGATAGAGATCAAATACGTCCAGCTGTGTCACTTTTCACAATTAAAATTCAATCGAAGGCTCTTAACAGAATTGTAAACTATTAAAATCTACTTTTATTTTAGAAACTGACGCTGGAGAAGCGAGAAAGATTACAAGAGAAGCATGAAGACGCCAAAGTTTTGAAAGAAAATATCGATAAGCGAAGCCAACAAGTTTTATCAATGTTGGAATCACGTCTGACGGAAGCGGAGCTAGAGGACTATAATTATTATATTAAAATGAAATCCAAATTAACCATAGACTATCAGGAATTAGAGGATAGAATTAAACTGGGCGAGGAACAAATTCTAGAATTAAAGAAAAGTATACCAGACTCCAAATGTTAAAGGAAATATTGTCTGATTTATTCAATGGTATTTTCATGAAACCGTTTGATTATTCTGTTTCCCAGCTGAAATCATCACGGAAATATTGTGAATTAATACAGCCAATCGGAATGATTCAATTTGTTGTCCTTTAAAACTGTTCAAGTAGATTGTTTTCATGTAAAAACTAACAGAATAATGTCAAGAGAGGCAATAATGTTATGACATTTTAGAAATATATTAAAATTCACTCTCTACCCAATCCAAGGCTGAGTTCTATGTGGACAAAATGTGAGATTGTGATGCAGGTGGCATTAAAATACATGAAAATACTTTAAAATACATGAAAATACTTTAAAATACATGAAAATACTTTAAAATACATGTAAACAAACTGAACAATGTTCATCAAGACAAAATTCATCTCATGTCAGTTCAATATTTTGTATAAACAAATTTTGTTTACAAATTGTAGATGTTGTATATTTTTGCTATAAGTCAATATATTTATAAGATAATTGTAAATAAATTTGAGAAAAATGGATTTAAAACCATCAAATGATCATTTTCAGAACCATTTTATTTTATTTATTTATGTATAGATATTTTGTAATATTTCAATGCTTGGATTCAAGAAATATCGTGCCTTTTGCAAGATTTTGAATTTTCGTGCAATTTGCAATATTACCCTTATTTGCAATTAAACTGAAGCATTTGCTAAAACTAAAAAGATATTTCATCAATATATTTATATAAGTCATCTTAATATGTAGTAAGTACTTCATAAATTCGGACTGTCTTCATTAAGTGCAGAAGATTAGGATGTAAAACTATCTCTGTTGTGTTAAGAAAAGAATTTGACTTCAATTAACAATGAATGATAAAGCTACTTTATTTTGATTGGGCAAAGGGGTATGGTTGTCTCATTTTAAGCTTTATCAGACTAATAACTAGATTCAAGCTAAATGCACTGCTGTTTGAATCCCTGTAAGAAAAGTTGGATAAAACAAAATGCTGTTTCAGTTTGTATGAATTATGTTTTGTTTTTGTGAAGTATTGTTTAAGAGTGCTGAATGTTCAATATTTTATCTGTTTGTGTTCATTACGATCCATTTTCTCTGAATTTAACTAGCAGGATGTAAAACTCCATCTGAATTGAGATTAAAAATTGAGGGCAAACTTACGAAACATGAAGTAAGGAATTGATTTTTCTAAACTCAGTAAATCATTTCAATTTTCAACATTTTTGTTGTATTGATGGCGCCTTTTTTGTTCAAATGACGACTTTCAGAAGAGAAACGAAGAGAATTGTGAAAGAATTGTAAATAATTTCATTTCATTCATTCTGATTGCTATGTTCATCTTTCTGTCTATCTTGTTATTCCATCCAAAATTACATCCATCAATAAACTTGTATTTGAAAAAAAACAGTCTTATATCTTCATGGAGTATTCTACCATACATATTTTGAGTGTTAAAAAGCTTGCCTCATTCTGTTGATGTGTTCAAGATATTAGATAATCGTCAGTTCATCTGGATTATTAATGCAAGCTTACACATGAATAAATTGATATCCAGGACCCAGCACTGAATATTTAAGCTTTATAGTCCCACTGAATTACAGATTGAATATTTAAGCTCTTACTAAACCCACTGTTATAGACTGAATTTTTAAGCTCTTGAGACCCACCTCGCTCCAGTCTGAATATTTGAGATCCAAAAACCTACTGTACTACAGACTGTAAAGCTCTAAGCTTAGACTTAAGCTCAGACTGAACATTTCAGCTCCATTGACCCAATGAACTATAAACTGAATTTTTAAGCTCTACAGACCAACTATGCTACAAACTGAATATTTAAGCTCAGAGAAAAAAATGAATCGTTTAAAAACTTTCAAAAAAGAAGAAAATTGTTTTATTCACAAGCACAAAATGATGACAAATATTCCACACCTTTTCAAGAAATCTGAGTATCTGCTAAAGTTGGTGCAGTTACTTCCCCTTTCCCCTCGATAGTAAATGGAGAACCTTTATACGTTGCCACTCGTTGTTGGTTGGTTCGTACATCTGGTTTTAAAGTTTCCCAGATTTTCTTCTTGGGATTTAACTGAATATCAGGCTGCCCTAAAATATAATAAAACAATAACATTAGACATGGAATCCTGTCTACCAGCCATTTCTTGACAAAACCTCTTTTGGTGGATCCTTTCTTCCAGGTAGCTCATGGACAAACCCACTTTTACTATGTCAATTGAAACATCCATACAAGGATAACAAATTGTGATCACAAGAATCTTGTCCACCTGCTGTTCTTGACAAAAACCCATGGCAACTATTTTTACAACTTCGGTTCACAAGGATCTTGTCCACCAGCTGATCAAGTTTACAAACCCAATTGTTTAGATACATCAGGTGAGCAGGAGCTTACCATACCAATAAGGAACTTACCAGGGAAGTCTTTAACAGTAACTCTGTCGCCTATTACAACTCCTGGTGGAGGAACTAGGATCTCAACCTTCTCTGGACAGCTTGCACACATTATCATCCCCTCTGATAGAATACCTCGCATCTTAGCTGGCTTCAAATTACACATAAATACAGCCAGTCGATCCTGCATCTGTAAACATACCCAAATAAAAACAAGCTCGAGTTGAAATCCAAAATCATAGAATATCTTACTCAAGACATCGTAAAAAGGTAAACTCATCTCACTGAGTTCACCAATTCTAAATGCAATTCAATATAAAAAATATAACAAATAGATTTGCTAAGGTTTTTTCTTTAATTCCATATGTTAAAATAGAAAAAAAAGAAACAACCATTCATAAACGGACAACACTGAACCAAACAAATGAGGTCATTGAAATATTCCAATGCCTTAACTGACTGTGCTACAGCCTGTTCTGATATGAACTGAGCAGAAAATAAGACCATGCAGTATGCAAAAGCTAAAAATGATTGATAAAACTAACCTGGTCAAGAGGAACATGTTTCACTAATCCTGAAACAATTGTCCGGATTTTTTCTTCTCCGATATCAACATCTTCTACATACAGACTATCAGCATCAGGGTGTTTCTTCACACCGACGATTTTACCAACTCTCATATCTAACCTAGATATATCAATCTTCTCCTCTACTGCCGGTGCTTTCGGTTTATTCTCTTTCTTTGGTTTAGCTTCCTTAGGCTTCTTCTCACCACTGACTGGTCCTGGAATAGATTAAACTTCCAATGAAGTTCAAGAAAAAATGCTAAAAGCACAAGCCTAAGTCTTAAAGCAAGAATTATATTTTGACATGCTGACAGTTAAGTGTGTCACTGTAATTAATCTGGTACCAAAGAATAAATACATAGTACAAGCAAATAAATTCATACAAAAATCACAGGCCTAGATTATGCAGCCAACACTAGAACTATAATCCTGTTAATCTGAAATGATGAACAACCAAGAGTTAAGAATTAACCAAAGCGTGACTCATGCTGTTATCAGGACTGTCTGTTTAGAAATGTGTTAAAATCTTTATATTTGGACTAAAAATCTCTGAAAAACTAATTGTCTGCTACTCAATCTTCAGAAATTATATTTTACAATTCAAAACATTCTTACCATTTTCTGTGGCTGACTTCTTCTCTGCCTGTTTAACAGGTGCTGTCTGACTGTTTGTTATGCTTGGTGTTTCAGGTATTTTGTTGTCAACACAATTCACTGTGGATGCTGGAGTATGTACCGGCATGAACACCTGTTTTACTAAATTGAAAAAATATAAATTTTGATTGGCTTTGAATTTTTGAAGTCCTGGTATAAAATTTGATTGAAAATACAACATTATTGACATTTTTATCAGCGAGTTATTGTAAGATTGTCTTTATTAATCTTGAGTTGATTTTACGAATCACAGAAAATAAATCAATTAAATCAAATTTACCAAGTAAAAAGATAGTAGATTCCACTGGAGTTTTTGACAAGCCAAAAGCATAATATACGCACCTCCATTTTTTATTTCAGCTAAGGTGATCTCTAGTTTAATATTATTGATCTCAGCTTTTAACTTGTCATTTTCTTTTCTCAGTTTCTCTTCTTCTCCACTACTGCCACTTGAAGCTGAAATTCATAGAAAAACTCTAGATTCCTGATAATGCCAGAAACTCTAAATGCAGAGATAAAGTTGATTACGGTATTCACTTTAAGTGGGAGTATGTGTTGATATTCTTGTATAGTGCTAGTGATTTGCTACACTAACAGCTATGGCCGCGGGATTTAGCAAGATGATGTAGTCTATAACTGCTATGGTTACTATTGTGTATGATGTGAATTTCATCCATGAAGATGGAATGGCTGGCCAATATAGTCTATTACCTGCAGCTGATTTCAGAACGTCAATTCTAGATCGTAGTTCTAGCGCAATTCTATCTGCTAGGTCAGCTCTCTGTTTCAATTTCTGTAACACTCCCTCAGATGCCATCCTGCAAAACATTCAAAAGTTTAAAATAGCTACCATACAAAGATAAGTATAGCAGCTTATTGTTAAAAACGTGGACAAATTGAAAGAAAACCTTTTGAAGCCACAGCCTGTTTCATATTTTCAAAAAATAAACCATTTTAGAGAATAATCTTCGGCTGTTCTCACATCAGTGACTACCTTTTAAGTTGTTCTTGAAAATTTTACCTCAAAACTTGAAATATCATGAGTTAGAAACTCTTTTTTTTGATGATGAAAGTTTAGAGAAACTTTTCTTATTTACTTTCCAGCATGAACGGAAGTAACACCTTTTCTGATCTTTCCACATTAAAGAGTTATAAAGGGGAGTAATTCAGGAAGTACGGTGAGTGGGTGGAAATCGATATCTCAAATATTTCAAATTTTATGTCAATTCTCTTAATTAAGGAATATAATCTTATTGAATTGTGTGCATAATATTACCGTCCACTGATCAGAGTTAAAGGAATAGTCTCGAAATTCTTAGATCGTTGTCTCAGTCAATCATTTCAAGATGACATTTTGTTATCTCTACTTTCGATTTGCTTGTTCTGTCAAGAATGAAGTTGAAATGAAGCCAGTTTGACAACACTAAGAAATGTTCTAAGAAGTCCAATTTTGAGGAGATGAATTATTTATTGAAGGTTAATTTTAAAAATAACAGTATCACAGTAGGTGGCCCTTGTAGTGTAGGTTATTTAAACTGGAGACAGACTCAAAAGATTTTTCAAAAAACACTAATGCTGTCCCTTTAACCGTTCCTACCCTACAGTGGTTACAGTCTATTTTCCCCAATAGGGGTGTTGGTCACATGATTGCCAAGATGCCTATTGTATGAAGGTGTATTGAGACTTATATCAATAAAAGCACTGGCCTATGTCTCAAAGCAATTTATTTGATGGAATTAGAACTGATCATGAAAATATTATTTTTTTTTCAGATGTCAAAAAGGTACCAGTGTAGCCTATTATCTGATAACCAAGACTAAAAATGACAGCTTTAGGAAAGGCTGAATTTGGTGTTCAGACATTTTTCGCAGCCAGTTATCCTAATGATAAATGTGGAGCTAATGGCCTGCCACTAACACCCAACTCTATTAAAATATTGGGACGATTTCAAGTTTTAAAAACATATGAACATCCCAATATCTGTAAATATTTAGACATCGTCAGAACAAAACATGGTGAGTTTTATTTGATTTGAAGACAAAACATAAAACATTAAAAGTTCACAAGCATACAATTTGAAGGATCCAGTCTATCAGCTGATCCTTGACCTTAACCACTTATGATGATAACATATAGGTTCTCTAGAATCCTGTCTCCCAGCTAGTTCTTAAACAAACACTTGACAATGATTTTACAAGGGTAACTCCCTAAGTTGTATCTGATCCTTTCTACCAACTGGTCCTTTGTAAAATTTTTGGAAATGATTCGACAAGAATAACAAACTAGTTGTTGACCTGACCCTTTGGTAATGATTTTATAAGGTTTACCTTAGGTTTTCAAACCAGCTTGTCTTTGTACTCAGTTCACTAAGCTATCTGTTGTTTTATATTACAGAAAGGTTAATAGTAGTATCAGAGTATTATAAAGATAACCTCCAGAATAAAGTCAAAACTGATCATTTTCACAGGTAGGTTAAATAATGTCAATTGGTTGTCTTATTTTGTTTTAAAATGTCTGAAATATATGCTACAGATGGCTGGTTGTACTTTAAAGATCCCTCGACAGTTGGAAATCAAAAATGTCCCGGCAAAATTTCCCTCATTGTACACTGCATGGTATTGCCCGTTTTCATTATCCCAGAACAGTAGGAAGTAAAACTCCATTCATGTTCATTTTGTTTCAGTGAGAAGAAGGTGATAGAGCTGGCTTTTGAAATATTAAAAGGATTAACTTACGTCCAATCTAAAAACCTGACACATAGAAATATTTCACTGGATAATATTCTACTTACTCAAAAAGTATGTTCTCAGACTTTTTCTTAATTTAGTTCAGATATACAGAAAAATGTCTGTTCTTTCAGAGAGTCCACATCACTTATGATATTTTGAGCTGAGAGTCTACGTAGCTAATAGTTTCTATTTAGTATTTTGGTTTGTCAAGTCCACATCCAAGTTCACATAGTAAATGTTTATTTTATTTTATCTTTTTTGATTTACCTATTTTGTAGAATGAAGTAAAGCTGTCAGAATACGGGCTGTATCACATGACAGATGAGGGAGCAGACGTCTCTTTTCCCATTGGGTAATTTTTTCCATTAATTTCCCTGCCCCCTGTACTGCAAACATAGATATATGATATTTAGTATTAAGTATGCTAATTATGGAAACTGATATTGATGTTTGGTTTTTGATGATTTATTCTGCTTAACCATAAGACTTGAATTATTCCAGGAAAGCGAAGTATATGGCGCCAGAAGTGTTTTGTTGTGGACCAGTGGTGGTGGATGAAAATTGTGAGAAGGGGATTTCCCCACCGTCTGGTCCCAAAGCTGACTGCTGGTCTCTGGGTATTGTGTTGTTAGAAGTACTTCTGGTAAGCAATATGTTTATCAATATACCAATATTCAAATTATATTAATTATTGATCTATAACTATTGCTTCTAATATACCATTAAACTATTATAATTAAAATGCTTTAAAGATGGGTTCCCTTATTATTATTTATAAAAGTGAAAATGTTAATACTTATATGAATAGAAAGTAAAGGTTTTCTAATGACTTGGAAAAACACCCGTTTGTCTCACATGTCCATAATTAATTCATAGCTAAATTGGAAGTAGAATTCCAATGAGTGACGGAGAAAAGTCAAAAAGTCAAAAAGTATTTTTTCGTTTATCCAGACTGTACATACATTGACATATTTGATTGGTTAAAACTCTTAATTATATGCAATAAGAACATAATAATATGATTAAGATTACATGATAATTCATTAGAAACACCAATTAATCAAATAGTTTGCTTAATTTGACACTAAAAAATAAGGAAACCCATCTTTAAACTTCATATTGTATGTTCTACTGACACCAGACTGTGTCCCTACCGAAGTTTTACAAGTGATTCTGGTTCTCAATTCTATTTTTATTCCAGAAAGAAGAATTATGGTCAGATTGTTCTATAGAAGAAATTTTAAATAAATGTGCTAGACTGATAAAATCAGGTACAGTACAAATTTATATTTGAGATTATCAAGTTGACAACCCTTTCAGAGAATCCATATAGCTGGTAATGTTTATTTGAAGTTTATCAACTCAGCATCACTTTCAGAGAGTCCACATGGTATTTGTACCAAGGTTTGTCAAAAAACCAGATTCGATGATATCAAAGGTGTTAATTTTTTTTCTAGAAAAAGATCCATTAGAATTTCTTGCTAAGGATTGTGGGTTTGAAGATAAACTTCAGGTAAGACTCGTTAAGAGAGTTATTTTTTTTGTTGTAAACAATCAAAATTTTATACTTTATGTCCTATGGAGGCTATTTTCAACCAGACACTTTAGACAGACAAACATACTTGTCTGGCAAATATTGCCCTGATTGTACTGTATTACATTTTTTTTTCAGAATATATCTGTTGAGTTATTATCTTTTATAAAATGGTGTTTAACGAAATCACCCAGTAAACGTCCGAGTTGTCAACAGTTAAAACATCATTCTATATTTACTGTGTTAAACTCTCAGGAGGTGAGGAGATTTCGTTTCTTCTTCCTTTTTAATTTTTTGTATTTTTGTTTTAATTCAATTTAATTTCTTGGACTTTTAAAATTTCCCCTGTAAAATAAAACTAAGTGGTAACCATTAAAAACTCAATGCAAAATCCAAAAACAACATCATGGCAAAACATTGTTACCAGCTAATGAATTTTTCATAATGAAAAGTGGTACGAGAGTTCCCATAGCTAATATAATTTAGGTTTATCAACTCAGCATACCTTTCAGAGAGTCCACATAGCTAATATAATTTAGGTTTACCAACTCGGCATACGTTTCAGAGAGTCCACATAGCTAATAATATTTATAGGTATATCTATTTTTATTATTTTAGGTACCATATAAGAATGGTTATAAGATATTGTCAGTAAAACCTAGATCATTAGATTTAGAATTACCTGTACTTGATCAACTCTCGGTGTTAGGTAAACTTCATTATTTTATTATGTAAAAGTTGTACATTAGGTATAGGGGTAGGGACTAAACATAATCTGATAAAATGACATGTACTGTATAATTGTGAATATAATGCGCACCCCTTCATGCTGTCAAGTATATTTAGAAAAATCTGTGTCACCATAAATAGAACGCTCCCTGTGCTGACATAAAATCAATAAGTTGGCATAAAACAGACACCATAATATTGAGTGGAAATATTGCTTCAACTTATTAACTTAGTTACTGTATACAATTAAAAAACTGCAAATATATGGTGCTAGCCCAGGGTCTTAGTGGGGGTCAACAAGTCATTCAAGTTTTCTAAATTTTTCAGTTATGGGCCTGGTATCTGTCTAAACTGCAAGTCAAACTCAACAACATACATGATCCAAAAGTCAAATCCACACTCTGTTTGAAAATTGAATAACTGTTTTGTTTATTTTAGACCCAGATCATCTGTCTCAACGTTCAATGGAAGAAGTTTATTATTTATGGCGTCTAGCTGGAGGTGAATTAGAGTCCATTTTAAAAAAGGCTGGATTGATCAAGTCACATCCACCCATCACACTTCTACCATTGTAAGTTATCTGCCTTTTTTGTTTTTAAAACATAAATATGGGGCGGCTAAATTGGTTCATGGACTGGACGTTCAATAAAGTTGAAATAGCAGGTGTAGACAGAATTCAAAATGGCGGAAAAAAAGATAGGGAAAATATTGGAATTTTTATGTGACCTATATTTATTTTTTGGGACGTGTTATTTTTAGACTATGTGGATGTGAGGGTGAAGTGTCTGGTCATATCAGAGATCAAGGGGAATTACTGGATCAAACTAAAGTCGTCCTGTCACAAGATCAATTGAGAAATGTAAGTTATTATTTTGTTTAAAATTGAACTTTGATGTGGTCAGTTTTTATTTGATTTGCCAGTTAAGTCTACTTCCAATATTGAGTAACAGTTAGGAATAACTTGGTATTGGGATTTTTTTTTTACTGTTAAGTTTAAATGGATATACACTATCAATATTGATTTGATAACACTATACAGACAGTATTATATAGAGAAATAAGTAAATTTATGATAAAATGATTGTGCTATTGTTTACAGAGGCTACAAGATATAGAAGAGAAGGCATATTACCCTCTTTTAGAAGATGAGTGAGTATTTGTTAAGTATCAATTTAAGTCATTTAGGTTTGATACACACTAAACATTGGTCCAAAGTAATTTTAACGAATATTTCTTAATTAAAGAATTTCTGAAGAATTTCTATGTTGATAATTCTGATTTCTTGAGGATACTGTAACATTGAAGATAAAAAGTAAAACAAGCTAAATAGATTTCGCTACTTGCTATAGTGTGTGTATATCTCCCTGGTATATATTATATATAAGAGCATGACAGTTTGTCTTAATGTTTCAGAGCTAACAGTAATCTAGGATTACCCACGTCGCCTAGTTCTGGTGATTTATCTGATACAGCCAGTTTACCGCTGGTTATTAAAGAACGAGATATAGAATATCAGGTAGGCTGGGTTTTTATGTTGTGAGACGCAAAAAAATATTAGAGTTTTCCTGAGAATTTGTCTGGACAATGGTCTGTTATATTTGATGCAAGAATTTTTCTAGCAAATGGTGGTTATTGCCTCACTTTGAAACATCGACCAAACTTTAACAGTGTCGTTTCTTTTTTCAGTTATGTTTTTATTAATCCTGAGGCTATCTATCCTTTGCCTAAATTTAATAAGATTGCTAAGGCCTTTCCTGGATTTAGAAATTATCTGTGGTTTTCCCCATTCCTCGGTTCCGATGAGGATTTTTGTATCATGTAGCTTTCATCTTAATGTGTAGATTAAAATGTTTGAAGGTGAAAAAGTTTTCCAAGTTCCATCCCTTGACCCCACCCTTCTAAAATAAATTTGCTGTTTTCAGTTTCACCGTATAATTCTGTATGAGAGGTTATTAAAGGCCTACCCGTACAAACGTCCATATATCTGGAAAGAAGCCAGGCTAGATATTCCTCCGTTGGTCAGAGCTCATGTTTGGGCTGCTCTCTTAGAGGTTGAGGTAAGTAATGATTCCCTTTTTTCTTCTGGTCAGACTTTCTATTGAGGATCATTGACAAGAACTCTGGAAGCCTTTCAGAGCGTTCACAAAAAATTATATATTTAATTTATGTCGACTCATAGATCTCTTTAAGGGAAGTGATATTATTAAAATAGTTATTTAGGTTTGTCAACTTTCAGAGAGTCTACATTGCTAATAATGTTTACTGAGTATTCGAGAGTTTGTCAACTAGGCATCCCTTTGCAGGGAAATGCATATAATAAATAAATAAATATTATGTATTTTTGTTTTGAGCAGCCTTCTTTAGAGAATCTACATAGCTAATAATATTTATTTGAGATATTTTTACGTAAAATAAGAAAAGTTTGAGAGAAGATGATGAATTTCTGTGTTTTCAGGGTGATATAGATGGTGAATATGATAATATAGATAAAGAAACACCTACCACCACTGACAGACAGGTAGCTCTACTGTTCTATACTTACAATCCTGTAAACCGGTGGATTGAGGGACTGGAGGAAACCCATTTGTCCAAGGGCCCAGGACTGATCTGTCCACCTCTGATTACAATACCAGCCAGTCTTCATCATGTTTAAAGTATACACATGTATTAACAATATTTCAATATACAATATGTTCCAATAAACATTGATAAAGATCATGGGTTGCTTCCAGTCCTGTTAAAGTGATACGTCTTGGAATGAACATTAGATTTAATTCTCAAGAATGGTCAATATGAGTATATATTCATCAGTGAATTTACCTGGTGTCATAAAGTTACAACAGAATCCCTGTAAAATCTAGAAAATTCATAATACTAAGTAATTATTGAAAAATACTTAATCTTAATATTAAGCGTTTTCAATAGTTAATTGCATATTTATTAAGTTTTTTGGATTTATCAGATTATATAAGGATCCTGTTATGTTATTTATGACATCAGGTATATCTACTGATGAATATATTGGCCAAGTTTTAAATTCATAAGTTTTATGTTCATTCTAAGACGTAATATCACTTTAATATTATAATAATACAATAAATTTTTATATTATCATCTTTTCAGATTGAAGTAGATATACCACGATGTCATCAATATCATCAACTACTCTCCTCCCCGACAGCTCATTATAAATTTAAACGTGTATTAAAAGCCTGGGTAGTTAGTCATTCTCACTATGTATATTGGCAAGGCTTAGATTCATTGTGTGCTCCGTTTCTAGCCTTAAACTTCAACCATGAAGGTATCAAATTTATTTTCTTCTCTCTGGTTGCTTTAGACTGGCTTCTTTTCTAAATTTTAAATATTCTATTGTTCTAACGACTGGAAATCAAATATGACTGGGTAATAGTGTCTTAATAAAGTAAACTCATTGTACAAGTCTCAATTATTGTTTCCAGCGCCATTCTCACTTGCTACGACCCAAGTTCTCAATTTATACTGACCTTTGTTTCAATTAGCGACATTACCTGATGAAGGTATATTTAAATGATTTGTCTCAATTTCAGCGTTGGCGTATGCTTGCTTAAAGGCCTTCATTCCTAAATATCTTCATAATTTTTTCTTAAAAGACAACTCAGCTGTGATACAAGGTAGGACAGTCTATCAGAGATTATCTCAAAATATTAAAAAATAAATAATACCGAAAAATCTGAAATCTGAAGAAACATTTGTTCTGTCGCTATGACAAGCTGTGTTGTCACAACAACAGGCCATGTTTTTTGCCCTGGGATATTTGAAGAAGTGGTGCTTAGAACCCTGAAAACAGTGTCTGTTTTATGGTTTGAAATAACTGGAACAGGTCTGGTTCTCTTTGTGGCTGTTTGACACTAAATCAGAAGTAACCAAACCTTTATCAGGAATAGCTTATTTAACATCAAATTTTACTGCTTTTGTATTTTTTTTCAGAATACTTGGCTGTATTTTCTCATCTGATTACATTCCATGATGCTGAGTTAGGAAATCATTTAGATGGTATAGGATTTATTCCTGATGTAAGTTTAGACCCTGGTTTCAATTATGTTAAATGAAGAGTGGAAGATGACGCTTATTGCTTTGTTTCTTGAAAGAATTATACAGAAGTTTTGGTCTCTGAATGTGATGCAGGTCCTAGGGGCTGACATAGAAAGATCGCCTAGTCGTTCGGATGGAACAATAAACTGAGCCCACGTGTGCTGCAGGAAGTCCTATTTGTACCATTTCATTCAGATTTCAATAATAATATATAAAACTGTCTATATTTCAGTTATATGCTATTCCTTGGTTCCTAACTATGTATGCTCGTAAGTAAAATTGTTACTTTAAAATTCCTATTATGATAAGAAGCTATCTTGGAATGATCAGCAATCTTTTTGTTTATAAATCTTGTCTTATAAAGTCTGAGGGAGCCCCGGTGGCTCAGTGAGTAAGACGGTTGCTCGCTAACCTGAAGGTCCAGGTTTCGATTCCAGGATAGGTCGAGATAATACGTTCCTAATTATGTATTTGATTTGTTCTACTAATTTCAGATGTTTTTCCACTGCACAAAGTCTTACATCTGTGGGATACACTGTTGCTAGGCAACTCATCCTTCCCACTATGTATTGGAGTGGCTATATTACAACAGCTGAGAGCGAGGCTATTATCGTATGGTTTTAATGAATGTATTCTACTATTCTCTGACATGCCAGGTAGACATTTTAAGTTTTCAATCCTTGATCTATTGCATTACACTCCCCCATAAATCCTTACTATTTCGTGATGCTCTCTAAGGTTTTCCCTGCAATCTTTTTCATTGAATTAGAATGTAGCCTGACTGAATAGAATGACTTTTATTATAATATTCCACACATTTTATGCTACTCTACTGTGTGGCTCATTACCCCAAAAAAGTTCAAAACTACTCCTAGGGTTAAAACCTCTGCTCTAGGCTGTCAATTGAACTCTAGGTATTATTTCTAATAATTGTAAGATCCTCTATTGTATTACTTACATCAATATTAAATGTTGCGAATTGCCTAATATATCAAATATGAGGTATCGAAAAACTTTGAAAAAAATTGTGATTATATAAAATGTTTGAATAACCAGCCTTTCATCAAAGGTTTTTTGGCTGAAAATTATGAAAATTGCTATCCTGCTGATAAAATTTTTTCTTGCCTCGTTTCAGAGATTAGTATAGAACAGTGTGTTCAAGATTCAATTCGTATTTTCTGCAGTACACCTAAAAGCGCCACCTATCGTCAACATGCTCGTCCAATGAAAAAGGTTAATGATATGCGACCTAATTTATCGTATTACAGTCGTGATTACAATGAACAGCCTCAAACAGAACTGGTGAGAAAATTTAAATAAAAGATAATCATCTAAATTTTTCATGGTCACAGCTGTTAGTTGTCGAAACAAAACGAAAAAAGAGGCTGTACCTTAAAGTGGTCGCTTTATAAAGTTTCTACTGTATATCAACATAAATAAGAAAGAATTTCATTATGAAAAGATGTATCTATTTCAGTCTATGGAAGCCATAAGTATAGAAGATTTAAAATCAGAGAAATGTCCGAGGATATCAGCTGAAGATTTGATAGAACTGGGAGAGCTAGCTGGACCACGTCATACTAAAAGTCCAACCAAGAAAAAGCAATCGGGAAAACCAATGATATTAGTTATTGATGTCAGATCAATAGAAGAGTATCCTTTTTCGTTTTCAGGATTTGCGATTTTTAGGAGTTGATTAGGGTCTTGAATATATGTAAATAGTCATCAGAAGTACTAGAAATGTATGAAAATCACACAATTTCTTCAAAAATACCTCAAACTAGAAATGTATTGGGGACACTGATAGCATCCATTTGCACCATTCTAATCTCAGTCAGATGTCTGAAGGTCTTGCAATGCCACTAAATAAAACAATATTATTGAAAACATCAGAATCTGATAGTGATGTATGTAGTAAATCTTTTACCCTTGGTTTAATTAATCCTAGCTTATAAATAACTTAACTCTGGAATAGATTTAAACGTGGTAATGTACCAGGCAGTATCAATATACCGTTCCAAACAGCTTTCTCTCCTGAAGGTGACCTTTCACCTTGTCAATCAGTAACGACCTTGAACTCTTGTAAGAGTCTGGTCAAGGTCATTGTTGGTAATCGAGGACGAAATGCCAGTAATGTGAGTATGGATCTATTCCTCTATAAAATGTAGGACTAGAGAAGAGAACCTTTTCCTGTGGACTTAATTTAAAGGGATTGTAAAGATGGCTTAGAAAACCCCTCTACAATCCCTTATAAAACATTAGAGGCATTCTGATCATCTTATTGGTCAATAACTAAAATCAAATTCATTTATTCATTAAATTTGAATAAAGTCTCCTTATGTTATAAACTTATAGCATTAAAGGGCCATTCCGATTTTTTTGTAAGTCAACAAAATTTTTGGCTCAAATTTGTGAAATCTATACACCAAAATCTAGAGAAACTTTTCTCTTAATATATCTGGAAGTTATATCGGTCGTTTAAGGTAATTAAGATTACTGTATTTTCTGATATTTAATTTGCTTATAATTTATTATTTGTTATTTCAGTTTGCTAATGAGTTGGTAAGATTAGGTTACTCGCGAGTCTGTGTTCTACATAAAGGAATTGATATTTTACGTTCAACTGGATTAATCATAGTGCCGCCTGCTGATTTTTAAACTTTCATCAAAATCAAAATAATGTCATGGTTCAACCTAAAAAATAGTGATATAAAAAATCCAAGGTCAAATAAACGTTACAAATTAAAAAAATTGTGTTTTATGTCCTACTTTTCTACTCCTGTAAGAGCTAGTTAAGTCGACAACAGTCATTGCAGTGTGCAATGAGGGACATTTTGTCAGGACAGTAGTACTAGCGTGCTCTTTTTATCTTTTTATCATGTACAGCCGGTAGGCTTCAGTTTATCTCATGAAAGAATGACATGGCACTGTTACCTCTGGCCTGCAATCACTTACAGAAGAAAACTAGGATAATTTATTATTTGGACCTATATGCCTATGCCCTGGAATGATGGATCATTCTATTGCGAACTTTGTGAACTTTGTGGCATTAGGCTGCCTTGAATTAGGCTCATTAATGTGCAATAAATATGTAAATAAACCAACCAGCTTTTCCTTTGAATTGGAAAAAAAATAATGTCTGTTACCTTCCTTGAACTCGACCTTGACCCATACAGCCAAGTAATAAAATGGTAACAAATTTTATTGGAGTTGGAGGAGGGCCAACACCCTTTTCGGTTTTCCTTTAAAGCGTAAAATTAAACATGGGTTTTGAGGTTCGTTACACAATTTAATATTTTATTTATATTACAAATTACAAATTTTACATCCAAGCCATTGACTATTTACACTTTGTCTTTTTCTAGTCTCTGATTATTGAAACTGGACTCCTTCGTTCTCGTTACCCGATTCATATAGGGCGTTAGAAAATGACCGAGCGAATCCTGTTAAACCACTCTCTCTCTTCTTGAAGACAAATACAGCCCCCAGAATCAAGATTCCAATAACGGCTACAGATCCAATTACTATACCAGCTATTGCCCCACCGCCTAAATCCGATCCTGAAAAATGGAAAATGGAGTTTTAAATCCTTAGGCCTACATTAATAAGTCTTGCCGTCGTATATAGAGAAAGCAATATCTAGGCAAGATAATCTGACTGGAAGGGAAGTAACTCTTGTTAACAATTGAGTAATCACGACCACAACATGACACTGCCACAGCAATATCAAGTGACTCTTGTTAAGGGACTTTCCAGATCTAAAATATAACTACCAAGGCAAGTACTCTTATCTGACTGAAAGAAAAGTAACTCTTGTGAAGAAGAGATTAATCCAGACCACAATATGACACTTCCATAGTAATATAAACCAGCCGTCTCACCTGAAGTTTTGCTGGGATTGTTATTGTTGTTATTGTTGTTATTGTTGTTATTGTTGTTACCTTGTTGATGTTGTGGTGTAATTGGTACACCAGTTGGGAATCTAAACGGATGGTTGTTATTGGGAGTAAATGTTTTAAAATTTGCTGGTTGTCTCGTACCAGAATTTGATGTTGGTGGTATAGGGGTTAGTGGTTTACCGGGGGTGATCAGTTTTGGGGTTTGGGGTTGTCCCGATACGGGCATAGGGGTAGGGGTTATCGCTGGCCCAATTGTTGGAAAGGTGTAGGACGAATTGTCATATTCTGAAAAAGATATGAACTTGATTTAAGTCAAATGTCACTATGTATCATAAAAAAGCGAAACGTTTCTCGAAAGATTCCAGATTGAGACTCGAAACGATGGTATTAGGACATTTTCAGGTTTTATGAAGCCAAGCAATGAAGGAAAGCAAACCACAAGACAACTACCTAACCGACCTAACAATCCCATTGAGAAACATTTGAAATTAAATGAATTGAAGTGTTGTTTCTCGCCCTTCTTTTTTGTACTTTATCGAGCTAATGAAATTACACGGTGTCTTTGAGCACCTGATTTGGGCTAATAAGGAAGACGAAAGAAACATTTGAACCTACTCATGGATCTCTGACAGATTGTGCCCATCCAATTGGTACATGGGCAGGCCGTCCATGATCCTTTACTCCAGGATGTCATCATGCCACATAATAATTCCTCGCCACCACTATCGTTTCTCTTTGGTTCCCCTTTATTCCAAAACTCATAGTTCACTGGACTTCCATCCAACCATTTATACGATCCTGAAAAAAACAGGGATGTGATCAGTTGCGATTAGCAAATGTTACCAAGCATTTTCATATTTACATAGTTTTGATTCGAACTTAATAACCGACATTGGTTCAACCACGAAAGATGGGTTCAAAAGGGTGAATGCGCCCAATAGAAAGCTTGGGATAACTTCATACAAAGTTAACTTTCAATTTAAATGAATAGTGACAAGATCGAACCAAGCTTATGGGGTCAAGGGAAGTAACCTACCACCAGGTGCACGACGAGATCCGTACCGAACTAATAGAATAAAGGGAAGTAACCCACCACCAGGAGCATGACGAGATCCTTACTAAACTAATAGAATAAAGGGAAGTAACCCACCACCAGGAGCATGACGAGATCCTTACTAAACTAATAGAATAAAGGGAAGTAACCCACCACCAGGAGTATGACGAGATCCTTACTAAACTAATAGAATAAAGGGAAGTAACCCACCACCAGGAGCATGACGAGATCCTTACTAAACTAATAGAATAAAGGGAAGTAACCCACCACCAGGAGCATGACGAGATCTTTACTAAACTAATAGAATAAAGGGAAGTAACCCACCACCAGGAGCATGACGAGATCCTTACTAAACAAATAGAATAAAGGGAAGTAAGCCACCACCAGGAGCATGACGAGATCCTTACTAAACTAATAGAATAAAGGGAAGTAACCCACCACCAGGAGCACGACGAAATCCTTAATAAACTAATAGAATAAAGGGAAGTAACCCACCACCAGGAGCACGACGAGATCCTAAATAAACTAATAGAATAAAGGGAAGTAACCTATCACCAGGAGCATGACGAGAGATCCTTACTAAACTAATATAATAAATCGAAGTAACTCACCACCAGGAGCACGGCGAGATCCTTACCAACCTAATAGAATAAAGGGAAGTAACTCACCACCAGGAGCACGGCGAGATCCTAACCAAACAGCCCAGCTGCTCTGTTGAGACATGAAGTTGTAGATATACAGGTCGGTGGTATTATCATGAAGACTGATCAACCTAGCATGGTCCTCAGCACAGAATTTCACTGCCATATCAAAAGTTCTGGGTTTATAATCAAAACTATAACAGGCTGTACCGATCTTCTGATAGGATAATCCTGGACACTGACCAGTTCCCGGAGCTGGTGTTACTGGTGGAGTAGCTAAACAATAAAATAAAATATGATGAAGACCTGCTAATATCCAAAGCACCTGTTGGTAGTGTGAGATAGACTCTAATCACGTGGATATGCGTCGAGTCTTCGTTCTGTAGTAAATATTTTGGTTGTCGATTTCTTGCTCTTGTTCAGTGAGTTTGCTTACTCTTCTCATGCCCACATGAGTCCAAAACTTTACCCTCCATCAAATAAACTTTCGTAGCAATGGTGGTTATCAGGCGACGGTGATGATGATGATCACGATGGTGATAATCTCGATGATGATGATGGTCCTGATGATAATGGCTTAAAACAACCGATTAACCCAGGTATTAAGTATTTATCAAAGTTGCTTACCAGTAGTTTTCTTACAGAAATATGGATATTGAGTCGCACATTTATCATCTTTCCAGGAACCGTCAGAGGCGAAAGAGACACACCCAGTTCCAGCTGTAACATTGGGTTGATTATCACCCCAGTTGGTGAAAGTCACTGGCCAGTTGTCGCTCCACGTATACTGACCCTTTCTCTATAGAGATAAAATATATTAGATGTATTTATTATTTTCATCTTATTCCAGGTCCAATGACAATTAACGAAGATTAACAGAAGAAAGCTTTTAAGCCAATTAAGACCACCCCCTCTTTAAAGTATTTATTTCGTCCTAGTTTGAGAGTATCAAACTTTCCCTTTCCCAAAATCCAAATTTCACTTGCCGAAGCTACCAAAATCGTCAACCTATAGCTCCTAATTGGAAGCAGATGACAATCCTTCTAACTAACTTACTGAGCTTTCTTCAGTAGTCAAATCAGGTACAGGAAAGGAGAATCTGAAACTCCATATCATTTCATCGTGTATTCCCTTAAATCGAGATGAAAAGAGTCTTTAAAACAAATTTAGTCATGCTTACACTCTTATCGTTTAATCCTATCCAGAATGGTCCTTTTGTGTTCTCGTTGGCTATCAGGTAAGCGAATGCTTGTTCGTAACGGTTGTTGAGACTGGCAAGATCCGACATTAAAGTCTTACAGGATGTTCGAGCATCATCCCAAGACTTAGGATCTGTCATCAATATCACGCAGTCTTTATTTAGTGGTCTAAATCCTTTATCTACATCACATGACGTCGTTTCCGGTTGAATGGTAGTGATTGAGGCCTCTATAAAAAGAAATCATATCCCATAGACTTTACAGTTCAGGTATTTCGATTAAATTAATACACTCATTCAGGATAAGACAACCTTCTTTAAGTTTAATCCCAATGGTAGAATTGGCCATACAAAACAAATATAAGTCGAGGTTTAACAGGTGCTAAGGCTTTGAAACAAGTCATCTTTAAAATGGAGGCGATCTTGCTTTCGTAATAATAATAGTAATAAGGTACACTATTCTAATCATAACTTACTTTTATAGGTTTGACAAACATAGCCTTTCTTATCTGAACATTTAGCCTGACCCCACTGTCCTGCCCGACCGTGTTCACCAAATACAATTACACACTGGAATGAATTATATATATCAAATATTAACAGGCATATTTATCTAATGTGTGACTGGTATAACTGATATTATAGAGCGGTGTTGCACTGTTGTTGTGTGTACACCGGACATCACCTTACTCTGGTTACATATGTTAGAGAGTGGTTCACTGGTGTACAACAAACAACACCATGGATGTATATTCTAGAGTGTGGTGGTACAACAGACATCACTTGGGTGATCACTCTGGGTTATATTGTACTAAATTAGTAACCTACTTGTTGCCCTTTTCCCTTGTTGCTAGGTTCACCATGTGCCCAGTTAAAATAGGTACTATCCTCGTTATCATCCCAGAACAACGACCCTCTCACGTTAGTCATTCCTAGCCAACTCGTCCACCAAACATTCGGTAACAAGGTCGTTAAAAATGCTGATAATATGAAAATATGTGTAGATAGTACCCGTTATAATGAGAACCAACCGGAAATCGAAATATCGCCATTGATAGGTAGCCAGCCGCAGATCTTGGAGAACAAATTAATGTTCCCATGGCCCACCACCACTGAAGAAAGGTTTTCTTACAAATACACTGATGTAATATAAACGCAATGTACTTTAAAGTCTGGGATCGAGGAAAGAGGTGAACAATCAACACGATAAACGGAAATACACGACCTCCATTCAGTACAGTACCTGACCGTCAATCTGATCTCATAAATTTCATATAAATCCAAACAGTAGAAAAAAACTCACCTCCCTCAAGTGGGTTAGAAATAGCAGCTAAATTGTAACCAGTACCAAGTTTCCTGCAGGCGGCACTGGCATCACTGTAGTTCAGATATTGACGATTGTTTCCATAAACCTTAAAACATTTATTACGATATGCATTGAATCCTGTAGGACAGTACCCTGGTAAAACGACAGGTGCCTGGGTAGGTTGTGTTGTTCCCGATAAACTTCTTTTACAAATAAAGGCCTGTTTCAGATTACAGTGTTCATCATTCCATTTACCTACAATTACAAACATAAATAGGGTATTTAGTCAGGGGTGGACTGAGGGGTCGTATCAAAAGCTTTAATGAACTTGGGTCGTACCTACGAGGTACCAGTCCGAGTTTTTTTTTGACATTTTTTTTCTTTACAATTACATTATATTATTGAGTCTAGGTGGGGTTGGTTTCGGGTGGGGCAAGAAGCAACCCTCGACATCTTTATGTGGCTCTGAGAAACCCATTCGTCCGATGTCCAAGAGCTGCTGCAGACAGTGGCACATTTTATAGATATATCCTTCAAGCAATAAATAGACTCTTACCATTCTTTACAAACATATCAACACAGGCCTCGAGACCCAGATAATCATTCGGTTCATTCAGATTCCAGTTGATGTATTTAAACGGTGTGGAATCAGACCATCTGCAAAATATAGCCATGGCTTACAAATCAAAAGCTATGACGACTATCTGATGGGGATGTCGAGTTGTCAATACCAAAATACATCGTAGCTAATGTAGCTATATAAACTCGCTGAAAAGGATGCCGAGTTGGCAAACCATATCCTAAGCTTCGTGGACTTAATACAACAGCTTATATCATACGGTCATCTATATAGTGGTCTATTAGCTAGTGGTCTAGGACGATACCCGGTTTCCCAATGACAAAGATGTAAGTCAAGACGTGGAGAAGGCGGAATGGGTTAGACAAGTGAGAACACGTGTGCTACTAGCTATACAGGTTAAGATTCTCTAGATATTTGGAAATCGAATTCCATACAAAATCGTATATCATTTTTCAGATTGATTAAGATTTCGACATACTTACTGAGGACCTTTATCAGGATTGAGCTCATTCAGGCCGATCCACACAGAGTAGGACGTAATATTAACAATCTGAAACCAAATAAAATGAAATAAACCAGAATTTAAAAGGGGTTTTCCTGCTTTAAGATGATGATGATGATGATGATGATGATGAAATAAAATTCTAAATATCTGAAGATTGACGTATGATGTAAGGAAAAAAGAAAGATTTTTAGTTACAATTTGCCAAGAGCCTATTTCCTGGTCCCAAAATTACCGACACCCCAGTTCTATGATCCAGGTGAGCGCCACCAATATACGTAAAACTAAAAAGATTGCGAGGTTACCTGAGACCATAAGAAGAGGTTTTCCTGTTCAGTTGAAATGGACGATAGTTCTGCTGACTGTTGTCGACAAAAGTCTCGAGCACCCCGCCAAGATCTTGCTGTATCTCCCGCACCATCGACAACAAGGTAACAATTTCCATTGTATGATTTCCACGTGTCATCCAGTCCTATTGGTGAGCAACTTCCGGCTGAAATATATTGGTATCGGATTGGATATTTTAGATCATTATAAGGTTACCCCAGGAAGGAACTCCGACATTTATCTTTCCAAATCACTCACAAACCTCACATGCCATAAGTTAAGACAGGAAATTTCTAGCAAGTTCCTTATGTACCAGTGTGTAGAGGGGTGGAATGGAGTAACTGATGTAGATTGAGAAAGAGTGCGGTACTTACCTGGACCAGGAGTTGGTGGCTTCACCGTAGTAACTGGCTGGAGTGTCACGCCTGTTAAAATGAATAAAAAATGATTTTGGATCCATTCAAACAAGTTAAATGGAGAAAGTTCAATAAAAACATTACTGTGGGATCGGTCGAACATCACCAACGACCTGGACAAGGACATCTGCATCATTCTGAATCCAGAACTTCCACGGGCTTCAACCATCTTCATTAGCCGAATCAAGTGCAGAAATGTAGGTCGTAAAACTCCATTTCATTTCATTTAAGTGCTTCTTAGAGTCAGCTGGGTGTCGACTTTCATCCCCAATCACTAATAACTGTAGAAGTCTTAAGCAACTTACCTTTCCTGACACCACATATCCAGTTCCTGAGGACTGAACAAGCTTGATCATTGAACTTTCCAGTAGTAGTTCGAACCTCCACACAATTCTCAGCCGTACCCTGATAGTTATTAGGTTCGTTCGTGGCCCAGGCTGTTAAATCTGCAGCGGTACCGCCAGAATTCACATATCCTGAAAGTTTACCTAAACCATTAACAAATATGCAATTCCTTTCAAATGAAACAAAATGTCTAGACAAAAACTCAAGAAGTTAGATATGTAAGAGACAAAGAATAACGGACTTATCAGAGCCTTGAATTATGTAGAGACAGGTGAGGCAGCTGCCTTTTGACAGAGGGATCAAAATAAAGATCACCCAGACTCCCGTATCACGGCCTCCCCTAAAAATTGTAACGTACCTTTTCCTTCCAGGTCGTTCAGTCCAATCCAGAAATGATCATTGCCGGTGCTAAAAATATATATTACTTTATCTATATATATTTTTTATTTCACTTAGAAAGGCGTATGATAAACAAAGCCTTCATTCAAGGCTTCTAAGGCCTATCCAAGGGATGTAACTCTTGCTTACAAGGGACTAATCCAGACCGCAATACGATATTATGAGCTGTGAGTCGTAACTCTATATATACGGCTCTGAGTGAACCTATCATTGTATTACATTATCAACCACCAGCCCAACAATGAGAAGGAAAATATCAACTATTCTTACGATAGAGAGGATGTATAAAGGGCATCGAGATCAGATTGATTGTGAAAACTGGCCAATTGAGCTCCTTTCTGTTGACAGTCGATCTGAGCGTCACCCCAGGTTCTCTGTAGATTAAACTTCACGTTGTTCACCTGAAATGATTCAATCATGTTATATAACTAGCTGAGTGTTATGCTTTATATTTTAATCATTGGGTGAATTGGGGTAGTGGTCTAACAGGCAATAACCCCTAAAATAATAAGTTGAAAGTGGAAACGCTCCAATGCTCCAACCGCAGCCCATCCCGGTAGAAACGACACTGATGTGAGACTTACCTGATAGCACCAAATGCTCACAGCCGTCCAACCATCCGGACAAGGTAAAGAAGCATCAGGTGTTGTCACTGGTGGAAGAGTTGTCACCCCCTTCTTCAGCTTCTCGCACACAGCGCTGGCTTTAGTGGTACAGTTCATATTGAACCACAGACCAGCTGTTTGACCAGTCCCAACACTCACACATTGACCTTTTTGGTCTAGAAAATGGGAAATATAGAATATTTCAAGGGCTAAATGAATTATAGGAAAAACCGACATGAACCATTTCAAATCACAATCTTTTAGTCATGGATCTTACAAAATCAATATGGTATCCATAAAGATAGTCCAATAGCCATCCTGGATCATTCAAGATGATACAATCAATGAGGTAGCCATGAAGGTATCCAACAGCCATCCTGGATCATTCAAGATGATACAATCAATGAGGTAGCCATGAAGGTATCCAATAGCCATCCTGGATCATTCAAGATGATACAATCAATGAGGTAGCCATGAAGGTATTCAATGGCCACCCTGGATCATTCAAGATGATACAATCAATGAGGTAGCCATGAAGGTATCCAATAGCCATCCTGGATCATTCAAGATGATACAATCAATGAGGTAGCCATGAAGGTATCCAATAGCCATGCTGGATCATTCAAGATGATACAATCAATGAGGTAGCCATGAAGGTATCCAATAGCCATGCTGGATCATTCAAGATGATACAATCAATGAGGTAGCCATGAAGGTATTCAATGGCCACCCTGGATCATTCAAGATGATACAATGAATGAGGTAGACGTGAAATGAGTCCATTAGCTATCCTGAGCAATTAGTTTAACATAAACTGGAAGAACTCATATCAAAGAATAAATGTATGTGCTTTTCAAACTTGCAACACCCCGACGAGAAGAGCTACCAGAATGAGGGAAAGACCAGAACTTCTTGTCATTGAATTTTTATTTAATTTCCCGTAGATGTGACGACGTAATAATATATGATGGTTAAGTGGAACGTTTTGGCTCATGTAATGTTGGGAGCATTTGGACTCTCTAAAACCGCCCAGCATACTTCAGTGTGTTATTGATAAATATTGGGTCACTCACCGGGTTTATGTCGAGCCCAGTTAGTCAGGGGTATCCGTGAACCACCATCAGCGAATATGTACGTCCCTCCAACATCCGAATCCGTCACGTCCGTCCAATAATAATCTTTCAATGAACCCATCTTACTGGAGATGTAGGCTTGCTCATACCTGTCAAGAGATGGTGAACAAAAATAATAACTGGCATTCGTATTATACTACAACTGACGTGTTTGATGGATGGAGAACGGGGGGACTTGAAATAGGAACATACCACAACACTTTCAATTCATGGTGAAGAACAAATTCCGAATTGTCATTCATAATTGATGAGGTTGATTATGTCATTTCAAACTTCAAGCAAGGATACAATTCTTTGCTGGTTTGGGGGAACAGGATGACAATGTTCGAGATGGGAAGAGATGTGAGCCAGTGGGAAGACTAGACCTACTTGTCTGATATTTGTAGCAGCGTTCCACCATTAGATCTACAAACTCTAGCGGCAGCTGACCAAGTTCTCGGTTCAAATACATACAGATAACAGGAATTCTCATAACCATCCCAACCCTAAAAACAGAGCTTCTATTGCATTGTCCATTTATTCTAAGAATCAGCTGTCAAATCAAATATGGTACAGGTAAGCGTTATAATGTCTTGACTGCAATAGCAACCTTTCTTGCATTGTGGATACAAGAAAAGTGGCTATTACAGTCAAGACATTATGAAGTGGAGGGAGACCAACTGGAAAGGATCCATGTGAACCTAAGTTGTTACCATTAAATGGTTGTTTCGTTCCTTTCTTACATTGTATGTTATTCTAGATTGAAGATGTCATCCTTACCTGGTCGCAACCAGGAATCAGAGGCGACTGAGTCAGAAGATCTGAGGGCTGCTTCTCCATCTCACAGATATAATTCCTCCTGATGTCACAGCGTTCATCTTGCCACCCTCCTGTCTACAATAAAACATCAAATCATCGTCGTTCAAACCGCACTTATCCATAAATAGAATTATGTTCTTGTATCGAACTAGAAATCTGGCCTAACTCAGTTCTTTAGATGTGATATACGGATGTGATATCGTTAACTGGCCCTACCCAATTCCCGAGACTTGATACAAACAGTGATGATATCACATCTGTCTTGAGAAACTGGGAAGGTACAGAGCAGCCAGGTAAGTTCGGTCTGTTGAAAAGACGATGCAGATTGTATGGATTATATCGCCGATCATATAAACAATCAACGTGAATAGATAATTACGGTGCTCTCACATCAATCAACTAGGCGAAACATACTGACTTCACAGTACCTTATAAGTTAACAATACACAGTCCTCCTGTGTACCAGACGGGTTGGCTGGTTGTGCCAGGTTCCAGTTGGTGTATAGAACCTCTTCATCATTCGACCACTCAAAATACATTTCAGTTTGCAGATCATTAAAGCCTATCCATACATCAGCTCGTACTGTAAATAACGGTGAGTCAAGATGTTTATCAAGTTAATTCAGACCGATATCAGGGCCAAGGGTGAACAATTTTGACGGATGGCGTTTTAGGGGTCCGGTTATAGTCGCGCCATTGAGATACAAGCTATGTGATGATGGATCAATTGAACATAATTTACCTTTCTAACCAGATCTCAGCTCTATGGGTCGGTCTGTATCAATCTAGCTGGCAAATTGTAAGAAGATAGCAGTGAACCACCATTGATCTGAACTCTCGTGTCCAATTGACTGGCAGCTTTAACAATAACCAAGTGGCTCCCCAAGAATTTATTGTGGTGTTCTCGGATTATTCGTACACCAGTAAGTAACCATTGATTAACACTTACCGTCAGCCAGTAAACTCATGACAAAGTCCTGCTCATGTTGATCAGCTATAGAAACTAATTCAGATCCGGAGGCCTGACAGAAAGTCCTGGCATCTTTCCACGTCTGTTTGTCCTGGTAGGTGATGTAACATCTGTCATTGTAGCTCATCCACCCATCAGCGCACACTCGAGTAGCAGACGCTGGAATAAAGGGGGGATTTGATAAACCCTGGGCCCCGATATGATAGAGGATCCGTCCCTTTATTGGAGCTTATTGCGTAAAAGGCTGTATTAGTTTAAAATACAGAGGCAAGCATGCCCAAGCGTTAAAGCTGTGAGCTCCGAAATTAGAAATTATAATAAGGTGCAAATAATGGAATATTAAAATAGATTACAGTAGGAAGTAAAACTCCTTATTATTTCCATAATCAATCAATAAAACTCACTTAAACCAGTGGTGTAGACAAGATTGTCTGATTTTCCACCACACTGAAGCTTAGCTCTGTTAGTACAGGGTAAGGAACAGTTTAACCCTGCACCATATTTACCATAACTATTACCACAATAACAATAATCTCTGTTCTGTAGACCAGCGTAGTAGTAACCCTGATTTCACATAAATAGAAATTGAGTTATTAATGGCATGTAAGAATTAATTTGTTGTGGTCTTACGAAATCCAACGGGGGGTAATTCACCTCTTTCTCTAGAGAACGCTGTCGTCTTTTACTTTGGCGCCTTAAAGGTATGTACCTTTTCTTACGAAACAATATATGGTACCTTTTGATCACATTTTCCAACAATATATTGATATGAAGCAGGCCTTGACCTTCGGTGTCCGTTCAGGATTATTGATATTCTATAGATAAAAGATTGTCCACCGAGATTTGAATGTAAATTATACCTTTAGATAGCAATGGTGGATACACATTGGAGGCCACATTCCAGCCTCGGGATCTGATATAGCTTCATAAGGTAAATCTCTGTCTGCGGCTCGGTCTGCATAGCAACCAACTTTATAGTTCGACTGGGGACCTACAGATGGAAAAATAATGTATTCAAACAAAGCGTTAAAAGAATCCAGGCAATATGGCATCACCGGCGTTGATGCACAATGCAAAAGAAAAGGTCCGATGTGAAGGGGTCTCATTCTAAGCCACATATAGCTGATTAGCTGAGGGTATACGCTTTTTGGGCGCCATAAACACAGCATTCAAGAAAATATCAAAATAAGAAAAAAAACAACATATAGCTGACATGTTAGAAAATGCTCATTGTTAAATTCCCACCCCGTTTAATCTGTTGCTCACCAGTTTATACTTACCGGGACATCCATACACCTCCCATCTCAAAGCAATTCGTTTCTCCCAACTGACAGGCCAGAGTTGAATATAGCCGGCCATGACAGGGGCTTTTAGATATTGTTTCCTAACAGACCCTGCATCATAATTACCATCAAATACCTGAAAGTGAAGTGTCGTATCTAAGGAATGGAAGATTAATAAGCACCATCATCCTGTTTTAATCAGAAATTTTAGTAAAATAAAATGAAAAAGGTAAAATTCCCCGTTATTTTATTTATCAAAATCTGTGATAATTTTCCCTACTACTGCATCTGTTATGAGGACGGAGAAAGCAGTGTGCAATGAGGGCAATTTGCATATGGGAGTTGCTTCTGTCATTGGTTTTTAAACGTGCACAGTATATGGCACACCAGGCCTCTGTTTATTGCTCGATCCGAACAACTACCTTACCATGTCAACCCTCCGACCTGCACCCCTGACAGAGTGGAACGACTTACGACGAATGAATGCGACTTACCGTAACATTAGATCCTGTATAATAGGGATAAAATGTAACACCATCTGTTGAAACAGCCAGAGTGAACGATCTGACGAACTCGTTTCTCTCTTTCCTTCCCTGAGTCGCTATGGCCACAACTTGTACTGTCGCTCCTAGATCCACCTGGAAATTATAACAAATCCTTGAAATTATACCTGGCTGATACAGTGACAAGCTTTAACATCATTCCAATCCTTTGTACCAAGCAATCTACTAGCTAGTTGGACACGATAGTTAGGTATTGCTCTAGTCCCATTCTAACCACAGAAAACTGCCATCGTACTAAGCAATCTGTTAGCTATAGTTGGACACGATAGTTAGTTATGCTCTGGTCCCATTCTGACCACAGAAAACTGCCATCGTACTAAGCAATCTGTTAGCTATAGTTGGACACGATAGTTAGTTATGCTCTGGTCCCATTCTGACCACAGAAAACTACCACCCAAAGTTAATTGTATTGAAAGGAAACTCACTTTCGTATTTGTATAGCCAAAGGATTGTAAAGTGGTTTTCTAAACTCTTTATGTGTATCGCTTAGTTTAAGCGGAAGAACCACAGACGTCTGACTGAAAATTAGAATGGTGCAAATCGATGTTAGAAGAAAACCTGTTCACAATCCCTTTAACTCACCTGAATATACTGTTTATTATCGTTAAACTCGGCCAACCATCCACCAGAAAAATCACCAGAAGCTTGTAGGTTCAATCTGGATCTCATCGGACCATGATCATTATCGTACTGTGAAGAAGCTGACAGCTGTTCGTCTGCTATTTTATGGTCGCCTGATATCAGAGGAATATCTTGACACTCTGTAGAAATGAAAAATTACTGAAAATGACTTGGAAGATATGCACAATTTCCTAAAATAGAAAGTGAAAATTTAGAGTGACAGGCTCAATAGGAGAGTGGTATAATGCTAGAATTCGTGACACTCTTGACAAAACATTGAGAAAATTGGTGAAAATTTCCACGAGTGACAAGCAGTATCGAGTGCTGTATATTAATAACAGTGCAGTGTAAATCAGAGAGCAGAAATAAAAAGGGACTATTACCAATGGCACAAACTAAAACGTCAAAACGGAGAGCAACAGCTTTATAAATTGTAGTCGGCATGATTCGAATCTTCTTGGCTTGGATGTAAGACTTGAACATATTGGTCACTTTGTCCACAGAATTTCGGTTGGCTCGGAAAACCTGAAAAAAACACATTCAGTTGGATCCAGAAATTTGAGCCGCTTCGACCTGAAGCTTGATCTTGACCAAGCTAATCCGAAACTTGCTGATGTTTTATAGCTATGTCACAAATAACTAAACGTTTAAAAATTGCAGACGATTACAACTATGTAAAGCCGAATTATGAGGCACGTCCTTCAGTTTAAAATGTCTGATGGATTGAACGATTTCTTATATCTAAATATAAATATTACACACCTTTTCGACTCCAAACGGTTCTTGGTAAACCTTAAACTTGTCTGTGCTTTCATCCTCTAGGTAGGCTACTTTATACCCGGTTACCCATTCTCGAGCGTCTGGGTTACCCATCGTGGTAATCCCTCGGATCAACTTGATGTTGTTCAGAGTGACCTGTTGATACAAATCTAGGTTAAATACCGGCTTTATCTAGACCATTGAATCACAATCCAGAGAACTAGTACCCAAGGTTACCTGCAAGCAACCCAGGCGGTATCTTGCTAGTATTCCCATAGACAGATACAGTGGGGTAGGTAAAAAGGTGAATTACATATAGGAAAACCTCGATGATATCTCAACTTACTTCGCAGTGTCCGATAGGTACGAGGTAAGGATGAGGTGAGTTTTCTCGGATAAAATAAGCAGTTTTTACAATAATTTAGTGAAATTGCATGAATCCTATACGTCTGACTGAAGATTGGAACGGTTATCAATATCCCATAACATTTCTACTCGCAATGAATGGAGTTTTACACGCAAATTCTTGGTGACAGTTCGCTTTTAAAGTCTCTTTGAACCATCACAAAATGGGGGTTAATTAAAATTTGTACGTGTGCATAATAAGGTCAGAATATACATATATATATTTATTGCATCTCTAATTATCAAACGGTTTATTACAAAAATGATAAAAATCAATAAAAAAAAATGTAAAAGCATTCCTTTAATTTCATCGGATAAAACACGATTAAAAGCCATAAAAACACAAGTTTTCGCTTGACTATCTTACATTAAAAGTTTTCTTCGAGCAGTTGTACAGTTTCTGACGTAAAGTTACGTTTGTTTTTTCTTAAATATAGCATTTTATCAATTATCAATCTCACAAAAGGAGGCCAAAACAATTCATTGGCTAACGATAAAAAAGACCTCTAGTTGATTATGAACTCAATGGATTTCGTATCGTATTAAAAACAAAAGCGAGTTATTCCAAGCGTTGATCAAAGTGAAAAGTCGAACGTCACTGCTAAACACGATAAAACAGAACATAGCTCAGTGGATGAAGAGACTGATAAAAATTTGTTTTAGTTTGTATTCACTAGGGGAACTAAAGTTGGTAGTGTTTCTTCTCTTTCCCACTTCTACTTTCTCGCTGACTGGAGAGCGTCACATTCCGAACATTTTTGTCATAATATAACATACAAGAGTTACGACTTCATGCTTCTTGATAGGACTAGGAGTTGAGTTAAGGTTTCTAATCTAAACTTCAGTGACAATTAGCTCTTTTTGGATTTCTGCATTTGTCCATTCACATTTCCATGGCTGAAAGAATAGTCGTCAACTTCTACATTCCCATAGCTGATAGAATGGTCGTCAAGGACATTATAACAGTGAAAAACAAAAACAAAATGAAGAAAATCCTGTCCATGACCAGAGCCACTAGCTGCCATTCTCCCGTCATTTCTTCATCCGCCGCTTTATCCTGCAGATTAGAATTCACGGCTCTAAGAATCAAAAGCTGATCCTTCATGACGTCGATCATAGCCTGAGTTGGAGATTCTATCGAAGGGACGATTTGTTTCACGTGATTGTTATTCCCATTTTTGATGTTTTTAGTCTTTTCTCCACTCAGTTCATCCTCAACAAACGCTTTGTTGTCTAGGCCATTCTTTTCACATAAAAACTTCTTTTTGTAGAGTTTTTGGACTGGGTTGACGCGGTTGTCAGAATTGTACAGGAAAACCAATCGAGCCAGCCAGTTCAGTACCACCGTTTTTACCACACGTGGAACCTGTTTTCCCAGTTGACCCCGGAAGTTAATGTTTAAAACTAAAACAGTTATTACCAATGAAGCAAACACCATAATCATCGAACAAGAAAAGAACACTCCGATGTACGGAATTTGCGCAGACGACGGTAAAGAGTCGGAGACTATTTGTGCGTATACCGCAAGAGCTAACAGCACTGTAATTTCTAGACCGATCTTCTCACCTGAGTCGACCGGTAAAATGAAACCCAGCAAAGCGATAGCGGAAATAAGAATACAAGGGAATATTATGTTGACGACGTATGAGACAGGTTTCCTGGCAATTTGAATATAAAAGGTCACGTCTGGGTAGGGTTCCGGACAACACTGGTACATTAGTTCATGCCGAACGCTGTTTGCACTGACTAAATCCCATTCCACATTCTTCTTAAACGACCCGACATCCGCTCCGTCCGTCATGTTCACTACATTCACGTCGAATCCATGAAAAGACCAGGAACCGAATTTCAAAGGACAAACTTGAGTGTCAAAAGGGAAATACAAAGGATCTATGGTGCACAAGCTGTGTAGAACAGTAGGAAAATTGTAGTGTACGGTTCCGTCTGCGTGGACGGTTGGTCGGTAATCCGATAAACCGGGTAAACCGCCTTCACTTTCTTGGTTGTTGTCGTACAGTGTAATATCTGGGGACCAGATCTTGTCGTGAGGTAGGGTCAGAGAGTTTATTCCACCGTATTGGTCGGGATCCCATCGTAACTGACAATCCGTCCACGACAAACGTATCCAAGCGTTCAGATTCATTACCTGCTCTCGTTCGTTCACGTCCATAATTTGACGGATGGCTATTCCGACGTTAACATCGACCGGTCCGTCAAGTCCGTAACATTTTGGAATCACTCCTTGATAGTAATTTTCAAACAATTCAGCTAGTAACAAAGACTGATTGGACGTACCGTAATTCCCAGTGTACGGTAGAGCTGATCCGGAAGTTCTCACCACGACTTTTGCGGCCTTCGCTGTTGCAACGCAGTGAAAAAATATCAACAGACCAAAAAACTGCATCATTGTGGAACCCGTGTTGCCAGATATCAGACTCGGTTGTACAACAATCACCAGTTTTTCGTTCTGTTAAAAATCCAGATGCTATTATAGACACTTCAATTCCAAGTGAACACACTTGGTTACATATAGGTCACTTTTCCTTTCGGTGATAAAAAACCACAGTAAACTTAAGGATGATTCTCAACAAACCACAAAACTTTTATCCAAATTTTCTTCGATGTGGATGCCTTCACTGTCAGTTACAAACTGAGATAACAAATTTGATAACTATGTGTCGTTGACAACAAGCCAGTCCAATGAGAGGTGTTCAGTTGCACGGTTGAATAAGAGCCTATTACGCATTATATCGCTACCCAGCCTAACACGCCCGACTTCATCTCAACAATGGTCAAGCTTTTATGACAGTGGTCAAGGCTTCAAGGTTGATTGGTTATTAATGACACAACAGGAGAGAAGCATTGTTCACGTTTATATAATCCATGGAAGGCAGGTCAGTCTCAACCTTGCACAAGTATACTGACTACTGCTCTTCTTTAAGAGACGCTGTCGCCATTATCGGGGGTTGAATCTTGGATTATGTCAATAATCTGAAGAACTAGAACTAATCGCGTAATTTCTCAAAAATACCCCAAACCATAAATTTCACTTTCTATTTCTAAATATGCCTTTTCTATATATGTATGAGTCTCAAGAAAATACGAATCTTTTTAACTTTCAAACGTGGATAATTCTACATATACATCGATTTGAAGGTTCAAATTTCGAAGGTGAGCTGTGAACACTATTACTGAATAACTTTACTAGAAAAGTCCCGTTTCTGAGACTGGGATACGAATGGTATAACGGATGGCGAATATGTCCCTTTAAAAGAATGAACCATTCCAAATTTCGTGCTTAGAAGGGTGACCCTTTTCTGTGGTCAGATTGAAATTGGTAGGAGTTCTACGTTTCATTTGTGCTGCTCCTGTATATCTTTAAATATATGTTTGACTCAAACTAAGATCTCGGTGGATTAAAGTTCAAAATGAAACCATCAGTTGAGCGATGTGGAGGAATCTCAACTATTTGACTCGACAGGTGAATCAATGCATACATCATCACATAGCAAAAATATAGGAACATTTTTAATTTCATCGGCCGCAATCTTTTTAGGACAGAGGGGGCACCGATCCGAAACTGGAGATCTTACCTCTATATAACTCTTGGTATCTGCTTTGTTTGGTTTCCAGCAAGCCATCGGTTCGTTAGGATCAATCGGCACCAGTCGGGAATGTTCGTGACTGTGTTGAGGATCAATAAAACTCGACGCGTTATAGCCGCCATCTTGAACAATGAGCGGACCACTGAGAGCATATTCCGAATCACAGTCCTCTGAAATAGAGACACAAAATCATTAAAAATGTAACAAATAATTACGTATTAGAACTCCGAGTTGACCAACCCAAATACCAAGATATATCTGAGATCATCCGTATAATTTAATTTTGAAGGCAGATGGTTTCTGCTACCCCCAAAGCCAAGTGGAATTGCTTAGTCAGTATCGATTGAATAGACGAATGCTAGGCGATTTAGTACCGTAGGTTTGGATGTTCCTCAAGATATGAATAATTCTGATTCGCCCCGGTGTCGGCTTTCAACTCCCATCACCTCGCAGAATTGTGCAGTCCGACGCATGAATCCGACCACCGAGGACGAGAAATGTACACGTACTGACCTTCCATACAGCCTAAAATCTCCCATTTCAAAGCTATACCACTATGCCAAGCTACAGGATTGAGTCGGATGGATTTAGCTTCTATAGGAAAAGCTAATGTGTTGGTTATGCTGGATCGTCCGTTTTTATTGGCACTGAAAATCTGAAGAAAAAATGTAGTGGAGAATTTAAGTAAACACGTTTCAACAGTGGCGGCTCCAGTGGGGGGTAAAGAAAGGTTAACTTGCTCCTTAGAAAAATGGTTTGCACTGTGTTTTTACGATTAATATTGTCATCATCAGTGAATATGGTATACTACTCCTTGGTTTTATTACACGCAACAATTCATTTACATTGTCGCTAAAGGATTAACGTAAACGCAGTATCTGAACAGGTAGGATAACGACTTCCTAGTATATCGGTTTCTGATCAATAAATTGCGCAATATTTTTACAGTGTAACATTTTAAACAATATCATTTCAAGTTAGATATTAACTATAGTATTTGAATAACCCAGGGCCAAACACTTTATACCTTGACCTTTGACCTTGAATTAATACAATTACATGGAAATAAAACTCGCATTACTTCATTGCCCTAACAGATTAGTAACAACTACAGTGTTAACAGCAAAGGTTGTGGGGAATACCACCCCAGGCTGTCTTATTTCACAGGAAAGAATTAACCCGAATCTTGGCGATGGTTCTTAGCTGTATGACTTGCTGACGTTTACTAGCCTCTTGATTCACATTTAACGAGGTAGATTCTACCCCACAGAAACTTTCAGCAATCCGTGTATTTAGTCTACATAGTGATAGAAAGTCAGATCCCAATTCGATTTGGGGCACGGGGCCGTAGAAATTAAATAATTAGATCACAGTGTCGTAGCGTAATGGGTACAACAAGAAAACTTTAAGAGTGACATTTTTCAATATGTATTCCCCCACCCCTCAACCCTATCATGCATCATTTTAACTTGGATTACGCTACGGGCATGCACTCACCTTGTCGGTGCCCGGGGGGTCTTGGTAGGTATACCAGGGTGATAGCATGTCCAGCTGATATTGAAGCTTGTATTGTGTGACCCACTGGGTATTATCGGGTCGTCCCATGGTTGATATAGCTTTGACTATCATGATGGTGTAAAAATTGGCTGTTATTGTTTGTAGGATGTCGTTTCTTAACGGAGACCACCAGCCTGTAGAATATAATTTTTGATCAATTCAGGGATATGTACTTGTTTCCATGTTCCTGCAAGGGCGTAAAAATGAAATGAATGGAGTTTTACGTCCTACTTTTCTGCACCTTGTGGGCTAATGAAGACGGGCAACGCCATGCAGGTTGCGATGAGGGAAATTTTGCCAGGACAGCGGCATTAGCCTGCTCTTTTTCGATTTCCAACTGTCGAGGGATCTTTAACGTGCACAGCCTGTAGCACACGGGGCCTCGGTTTATTGTCCCATCCGAACGACTAGACGCTTTTTCAATGTCAGCCCCTCTTACCTGCATCACTGACAGGGGGAAACCGGGTTGAAAAATCCGAAGGTATTATCTCGACCTGTGCCGGGATTGAACCCTGGACCTTCAGGTTAGCGAGCAAGCGTCTAACTCACTGAGCCACCGCGGCTCCCCCTGCAAGGGCGTAGACTTAAGTTTTGTGTAGTGGGGTCGTTGGGGCTTTGGGGGGCTTTTACCATCAGGAGTTATATTTCAACTAGCCGCCTCCATTGTCCAACGATGACAAGTAGTATTGTATCCATTACTTTCTAGTTTGTTATCAGTTCCAGAGAAACTACTCCTGAATTCTGAAAGTTATCAAGTAAGTTACCAAGCACCTATTACGGCCCTACCTTTATTGCTGCGTGTGATCCTGGAACTGCTGGCACCATTCAATCCTCCTGCCGACGAGGAAGCCGTGATTCGTTCATCTGGTAAGCTGATGGTACCAGACAATATGGCCGTAGGTTTACATGTTTCTGGAAATAAATGAGTACTTTTACAATAACTAAGAATGAGAGACTTTTCTAAAGATGTAGATATCAAAATTTCACTTCATAGCATTTATCTCGTTTTGATTGGAATTCAGATCTAAACATGAACATAAGATGCATAACAATTTCGTCAGATCATAGACGGCAAATGAAGTCACTTGTATCACAAATACGAAACGACACATTCAAATTTGCACCTTAATAAGACAGTATTTATCCACACTTACTTTGTAATGAAGGCAAGGCTGTTGTGGTGGTTGCACCCTTTACTTTATAAGCTGAAATAATTTGGTAAAAAACTGATCATACGCCTGCCGTGTTTCAAATATATAATCCATCATCAGACCAACTGGTGTGGCAATGTGGTTCGCTATTTTTTGCGGGTTCAATCGTACCTTTGTCCAAGATTTAACATTTAGAAGAACTAATAATGATGTCACGTATATGCCGTAGACTCAATCATCCAGTCCCACTTAGATGTCTGGATGTACGAGAATATATCAACAAGACGTTCGACTTTCGGATACCCTAATTTTCAGAGAGAAAATGGCGAACCATGGCCTTCAAGATGGGCGTATAGCAGTTACGTTTCATCGAGGGCCATAGGTGGGGATCAGAGCTGAGGCTGACCCAGCTTACCCCTGCCCACATTGCCTGTGAGCCCCCGTTGATGTTTCAATGGCATTTACTTGCCTTTCTTTACTTCTTTCTTTGCAGAAATTCATAGTGCCCTGAAACCTTTGGGTTCTTACACCTGTATTTTGATCTCCAATTGGATTATTAACCAACCTCTGTTAATATACACACATACTTACGTTTGCGTTTACAGATATACGGAGACGGAACGGAACAGTCTGTATTATCCCAGGTGTAGTGCCAGTTGGACGTAGTTAAAACCATACAATTCTGTCCTCGTCCCAACATATTAGGTTCGCCTACAATTAAATCAAATAAGTTTAAGGGATTGTTAAGAGGTTTTCTACACTCTCTATGCGTAACAGGGACACTGATAGCATCGAATTACATTAATTTAACTCTGGGTAGCGGCATCAGTTTTTATTTTGGAAAGGCAAGCATGTTAAATTTCCTAAACCAAACGCCAAAACGTCGGCTTAGCCGCTGTAGTTTCAATATTCTTTACTGACGTACAAAGGTTTATAGTTTGTATTGTAAACGTATGATGCGAGCGCGGACCTATGAGAGGCCCTCACATTTCTTAACTTAAGGAAAATTCTGCAATACTCAACGGAAAATATTTGGAGATATTTTTCACAAGCATAGAGGACTCTCCTATACCTAAAGGAATGCGAATTGACAAACTCAGTGGCTGAGTGTCATCAGGTGTTCCGGAATGGAGAGCGTGCGCTGTCATGCTTGAGACATCCGCCATAGTTTGAGCTTAAGTGGAGCTCAATTTCAAGTCTTTCGCTTTGGACTCTGGAGCTTAAAGACATCAGTCATAGTTGTGACTTACTTTTTAGTCTTTGGACTAATAGGTTGAATATAAAAAAGGATGACCTACCGGTGTGCCAGTTTAGATATCTAAAAGGTGACCCGTCACTCCACTCCCAACCTCCCTCGTCATTCCTGTCAGACCCACCAATAAACAGATTATTCTGCACATAAGAAAACTGACTGCTACTCAATGTTGCTGTAATAAAGAAAAAATTGAAATGAAATGAATGGAGTTTTACACCCTACTCTCCAGCACCTCACTGAGCCAATATAACGTCGTTCACTTCTTGGATACAGTTAAATCTTGGGTATCTGTATAGTATCTAAATATTTCTTTCTTTACCAAGTGGAATTCTACTTCAGTCACCTGTATCCCTTTTCAAAATTATTCATTGATAAATGTGAGTGGTGTAATCTAATCGTTTTATATACGTTTTACTTCAAGGGAAGGAACTCGATGCAATTTCATTAGACCACTGCGGCAACTTATGGATTCTTTTAAAGTCAATTAAACTAAAACTACACATCAGTATCAAATCTGTTTGAAAGCTGGAACACAGCGACCCATATTAAGTCTTCGGAGTACTGTAATTCGAAGCATTGCACGGAGGTACATCGAGTACCTCTCAATATAAGAGAATACTCCACTGTCTAAAACTCTAAACCTATCTAGTAAATGCCCATCCTCTTAAGCCCCCTTCTCCCCGCAATTGCCACCACGTACGTATTCAAACCCACTACTCCCCTCCTCTCATAGCATTCGCCTTCCTGACTATATTTTTAACGCTTCTTTCCCCTAATTACTGTCCACTCGTGTCTCGCACTGCCTCTAATCCCCGCCCTCTGATTAATGATCTAGTACATCCCCTGTCTTTCTCCTTTTCTTCTCCGTTCTAATTCTTCTATCCTAGTTCTTTCCTCATTACTTACAATTTCTCTACGTTCCCTGTCTCTTTAATCCATCTGCCTTCCTATGTACTTGAAATCCTCTCCCCTTACTCTTAATAACGACATCACAGTTTACGATACCAATTAACCATTTTTTACGACCCAATATTTCCTGTGAAATTTCCTGGGGTATCACAACGTCCTGGTATCATTTACAGCTCCCTACCTTCAAGATGGATCTGTTCCTTCGGACCGGAGATACTCATCAGATCACCACCTTTATTCTGACAGTCTTTCCTGGCATCAGCCCATTTCTTTCTCTCGGTGTTAATCTGATAACACGTGTTCTCGTTCTGGTTGTCAATCCAACCCGGTCCACCGCACCGCTCTGACCATTGTGCTTATAACAAAAGAAAGAAGAAATCGCTTTAAGAGTATAACAACTTAGGTTCTCAAGGATCCGTGCTACCAGCTGGGCCGTGGTCAAACCTCTTGGCTAAAAATGTATAATGATAACAACATAGGTTCATGAGGATCCTGTTTACCAGCTTGACCTTGGACAAATCTATGAGCTATGATTTTTACAAAGATAACAACTCCGGTACACGAGGAAGCGTTCTTGGCAATGATATTTTCTGGATAAGCTGGAATAATGAGGAAAGATGTCTACAGACTTTCACAAAACGGATAAACTGGAGTTTATGCTCTAATGCACTTCCATGGATTGAAATAAAGCTTAAAACAAGCAATTTTGAAAGCTTAATTTCATCCCCGAATAATATTGAATTCTCGAAACAACTCCCTTTTGTTTTTTGTGATATGAGTTAGAACATAAGAAGCTAAGAAACGAGAAAGAGATACGTACCAGTTACTACACCAGAGGGGGTTGTAGTACTTGCGCCATCTGTAAAAGACACACAATACAAAGATGATCTATTGGTTCCAGAATATGTGGAGTAATTGCAGAAAAATATTTTTGAACTACAATAATCGGTTGCAAAGAGGACCAAAAAGAGATGGGTGGGGAGTTTGGGGGAGGGGGGGGGGGTCGCATTGGCTTCTGGCCTCTAAAACACCCCTACCCGTACCAAATCCACTGCTTTCTTGACAATACAATTCATGAAAGGTTCCCAATGATGGGGTTTTGGAGAAGCCAATTCTAAACGATTGCTAACTTGCACATTCGGGACCGAAGGAACGGGAAGGGGAGTCGAGTTGGTGGTGTTAAGGAGGGGTGTTTAGAGGGTGACAGCTAGTCTGTTAAATACACATCTTACTTGCTGATTTTCTACAGATGAAATTATTTCTGCGATTACAGGTTGTATCTTCCCAGGATCCTATATAACGTTTAGCCCTACTTCCACCCACGATCTGGACACACGGCTGTTTCCTGTCTGGTTCTTTAGGGTACCAGTTGGTATACGTGGGCTGAAATTATGAAAATGAGATGAATCTGATTCATGGTTTAATTTTCATACAGGCTGTAGTTTAAGGGTCTTTAATCCGACTGTCTTACGTCAGAGTGTTGAATTTGAAAGTAGCTCAATCTCATAGCCAGATTTGATTGTTCGGTGGGACAATGATGTATGGTGTTAAGTTGCAGCAATTGATCAGTTATTTTTTAATGGGATGGGGAAGCACCCCTTCTTTTCTCCCTCTTGCCCCTCCCCCTGTAGCTCCGGACCTGAAGTAAGACACCAAGAAAAAACAGCAAAAAAAAACCCAAATCACAAACAAACAAAACAAAACAAGGAAGGTATTAGCCATTAAGTTCGGACATCATCGTCCAGGAAAGTAATACTTACCGGAGTGTAGTCGTCCCACGCATATACATTCTGGCCTTTTTTAAACGACAAACCAAACCAAGCTGTATCAGTCCATTTCTTCATTTCTGTAATCATACACAGACATAACGCATCAAACAGGGAGTAAATAAAGCAACACACGAGTCCTTACATCTTCACAATGTCAAGCTATTACGAACCCTGACTGCAATAACCACTACTATTCTTGTATCATTCTTGTTCTTTGTCAATGAAGTAATTTGATTGAATTGTACGTTGGCGAATACAGCCAATCAGAGTCCCCAACAGTAAGTCTGTAAATAACGATAAGCCACAATGTTTATCACATTCGAAGGTTATAATTGCAGTTCGTAATAGCTTGGCGTGGTGAAAATGGATGATTTTTTAACAAAATGAACAATGCCTTGCGATCAACATGTCAGAGGACCTACACTTAGCCCATCAGAGCTAATATACCTCTCGTTAAGATGCAGTAAAGTAGGACTAATACTCATTTCATTTGTATCATATGAGTAATGTCTATCATTATAAAATGAACTTACTTATAACTATGGCTTGTTCTTGAGGATCTCTAATTGTGGTAAGAATAGCACCGACAGATTGGCAGTAACTCAGGGCATCGTCTCTTGTTTTACCATGACCCTGGTAATAACAGTCTTCTCTGTACAGAGACCAACCAGAATCACACGACAGTTCTACAAAATTTAGGACTACCCGATAGTTTGTTATCACAATATTATGGCTAAAACTAAAAAGTTGTTTTAACGCCATTCAAAGTGTTTTCTGGTGAACTAACAAGACGTTTTCGTCGTGGTAAACAGTGGGATATAATCGTGATAGCACAAGGACGCTTTTTACACCCACATTGAAGTGTATATTATGTAGTTTCTTTTGCCGTTATCATTTTCCGTCCGTCCACGAAGACGCCGACAATGATGATGTTGATAATGATGATAACGATGATGACAATGACGATGATGACGACGACACTGACAAAAATAATGATGATGATGATGGTGATGATAGATATCAAAGGATGATTACGATGACGACGACGATGACAATATGATGATGATGATGATGACTATAGTAGTGATGATGATGACGACGCTAATGATGGTGATAATGATGCTGAAAACTTACGTAGCCCTGGAATCATGTGAGGGACATTTGTGATTGAACTTTCACAGATAAAAGCTCTACTTGTAAAACAATAAATATTGGCCCATGTATCGTCATTTTTAGCTGTAAGAAAAACCAAAGTAAATTATCAAACTTATGAAACTTCTAGACACCTGAAACTACTATGAAATATCTACTCACTTATGATTGATATACTTCTTAATGTAAAAAGGTCATAAGCTGTTACCAATGTTTCGCCGAAATGTTGCATTCAATATGTTAATTGTTACGAAGAGAAAACTGAACAATGTGGCCGATGCTATCAGTTTTTTTTTTACATTTCTCAACATTTTATACAGCTAATACCTTTTTGTTTGGTCAGTAAAAATCCACCTTCACATTAAAGCGACTTGATTGGATTGTATAACCTATCACTGACAGCAGGTTAGTAATCAAAATGTTTATACAGCCTTTATGTCGATTGCCCTGAATGGCTGTATTCGCTGGCGTACATTCAATCGAATTCACTGATACAAAAAAGGCTGCTATTGTAGTCAAGGTATAAGACGAAGTTCGTAATAGCTCGACATTGTGAAGATGGTTAAATACGACTTTGATTTCTGAATATTGAACTAAACTAAACCATGTGTTAAACATGCTTGCTTTTCAGAATAGTTTTTAAGATGACCATGGACGAGAAAAAATATCAATTAATATTACCTGTAAGCATTGAACCGCAGGATGCCAAACCATTGTAGGGACGAGGGTAACCCTTATGCCAGTGGGTATACACCCCATTCGCAATTTTCACTCCGGACACCCAACTCTGGGTGTTGTCCATGTTATAATCTGAAAATAGAAACTTGATCATCAAGGTTTGGTTATCATGACAAAGCAAAGCATAGAAAAGCATAGCATAACAAAGCAAAGCACAGTACAGCAGAGCAGAGCAGAGCAGAGTAAAACACAGCACAGCACAGCAAAGCAGAGAAAAACATAGCAAAACACAGCAAAACAAGGCAAAGCAAAACATCTTTCTATGTTGATCCAGGAAAGTTTTTGCTTTCTATCTTCGTAGCCTGTTTACTTATATCTCTTATGGATAGTCAATCACTATGTAAAAGGCAGTTTTCTCTGTGTGAGATCCGGTCCTTATCCAAATCAGATGGAAAAAGGAACCCAATGTTACTATCTGATTTACCTGAACACCCAATCCAGGTTACTGTCAATTTCTGTGATTTAATAAACTTTGCTAAATACTTCTGTTCATCGGCACTGAAATTATCAAAAAGTAAATTTCATAAAATTAATTTCTAGTTGTGACCACATAAGCAGACATGATTCAGTAACGCTACCTACCTCTCTATTATAACCAAATTCGTTCCCTGAGACTGACACATCATCTGGGCACTAAACCAGGACGTTATGTCTCTTTTCTGGTACAATTTATAACAGCTACCGTTATTCTGAATCCAGCCTGGTGCACACGAACCTTAAAAAATGAATTACGCTGACTTAATGTCGATCTATATTAATTAATATATAACTCTCAACAGTGAAAAAAAGAGGAGGGCAACCATTTGACTCGACAAGCCAAGCCACACACGCCTTTATAATGCGATTATAACAGGACGTTTTAACGCAAGCGATGAAAATGTTATCAGGGAGGGGAGGGGATAAATTACATTAATAAATTACACTTGCTTGTTGTTCATCTTTTAAAACCTATATCTAATCATCTAACAGGAGAGGGAGCCATTTGATTGAGATACATAGCAGCAGAAAAAAATAATGGCGTCTTGTGTCAAACGTTTTTCAGGTGGTGGGGAAATATTATCTGGGACTAATCACGAATCTATTCTGTGATCTTGCTATATCTCCTGTCTCTGGGAAGCCTCGATTTTTCCACAAGATGTATTCGCTTACCATAGGGTTTCTGACAAATGTAGGTATTTTCTGCAACACATGTATCTGATTCATAGGCGAACGTTTGACTGGACAAAGCACTAACACACGAATCACCAGGTACGCTATAAGTATTAGTTATTAATCATAAAATAAAAAAAACCTTTTTATATAGTTTGGGGCATTCAAAGGTCACTGGATCTTACAATTCCACTTGGACAATTCGTTTTATCACAAACGCTTTGAGATATAAGCAGCCTTTGCTACAGTGGAGTCATATGAGTATTTCTAAAACCGCATGAACCACAGGCATCCTGCTACTGAAGGTAGTATCTATCTGTACATCTGTGTACAATATCCCTTATTGCAATAACTCGTAAATAATGAATACAGAATATAATACATTACGGATATCGAACTTTACTGTTCCAGCGTTGATATGGTGGTGTTACAGAATCCACTGTTAAATATCTCCCAGGTGAGGTCTAGAAAAACATTATAGTCATCACAGAGAGAAAACTCCCCATACCCATTTCTAACAGAATACAGAGTCCTGTTTCGCTATATATCCAACGTTCATTTTTGTGACACTTGTGAAACTACTCAGAAGATTAAAGGGAAAACTGTAAATTTCTGGATTTTATATGTCTAAAAATTATTGTGCACACCGGGCAATATTTCGACGCTTATGGTATCTTTGTCAGAAAGTTTGAAAGTCAAGTTGCAGACCGACCACATAACGGCATCGTATGTTCCGAAAGAGAAAAGAAATGTGTACTCACTATGTCTGATATTCCAACCCAAACGTCATTCGCCTGATTCTGACAGGGAACCACATCGCCCAGTACTAACTGCTCCGTGTACGATATTGGTACGGCTAGATCTCCACTGTACTGCTGACAAGATGCACGCGCGTCCCGCCATGTTTTGGGGGTGGAGAAATATTTATAGCATTTACCAGAGACATCTAACCAACCATCACTTGCGTCACATTTATCGATACTATCTACAAATATATATGACGGTGGAAGATCATCTTCACAATAGTCGCGTTTAGACTGTCACGAATTATCCGGGCCGAGTCCGGACCAAGATCGGTTCAATTCAAGTCGGCCTAGTTTTATGGCAGTGTAAACGTGGCTAGTGTCAAGCTTTTATGACCTTCTGCTTATCCAGTGTCAGATGCCAGATGCCAGGGCGTATCTATTAATCTTAAACGAGAGCGAGCCATGGAATTGGGACACATAGTACCAGATATTCTAGAGTTCAATGACTGGAAATGTTGACACTAAGGGTCGGCTCAGCCCCACGTAAAAGTGCCAGGGGTTAGTGCAGGAAAATAAAGATACACGATGAACGATATGGGAAAATTGATGCAACTAAAGGAGGTATGCGTGACTGATGTGGTGTCCAATGCCGGAAATCAATATTGCAGAAAATAAGAGAAGTGAATAGATGATGTAAGGGTCCAGAAGCGATGAGGACGAAAATTCTTCTATGTTCTACTGAATTGATAATCCTGTACCTTATTCCGCAAAGTATCCGCGAAGTGAACATGCGCAAAGTGAAAAGACCTGGCATTCCGGTTGGTATATGACGATATACAAATTATAAGAGGGCAATAATGAAAATCCGTTTAAAGATAGTCCCAAGAGTGATTCTTGGTTACAAAGATGAAAACTGAGTTAAAATGAAGATTTGACTTACTAGCGGGCTTCTGGCAAATAACCTGGTAGCCGCCATTACAGTTAAGAAGATATGTAGCTCTGCTAGCAGGGTACATTCCAGCACAAAGGTTGTATTTCTCAGTTTTCGCTGGTATTCTTTCCTTATTGCTCACCCAGTGGCTACAAGAAAGGAATAAACTGATCTAAACAATAGGTTTCATTTATGTTCGATGTGTTACACCATTCAATCTTGGTTTATTCCGATTTTAAGGAATAGTTACTTTTCTTGTATCATGAAAATTTGTAAATGAAGCGATTTGATCAGATTGTACGCTAGCGAATACAGCCAATTAGAGGCCTCGACAGAAAGTCTATGAACACAAAACCATAATATTTACAGGGGCTCATATCCCACTTACAAGGCGGTTGTATTATATTTAGTTGTACCATCCATCCATAACCATTTAGAAGTCTTAAGATCATAATGAATGCCCGCCCACTGATACAGCCGAGGCCCTCGTAGAGTTATATTCTGTAGGTATTGAAACTCTTGGTCGGAGTAGTAGATTGGAAGAGTTGCGTTCCTTGATGCACAGAAATTAACGGCGTCTATATACTTGAGATGTGCTGTAGTGACGTAATAACATCTTCCATTGAACGACGACCAGCCAGCTGGACATGCGCAGTACACAGCTTAAAGATAAAAGCAGCATTATATGAACAATTTGTTATTTGTTTTTCATTCTAAACCTTGGTTTCAGTCAGCCAACCAACCAGACAGTCAGACAGTCAGCCAACCACCAACCCAACCATACACCCACTAACCCGCCAACCAACGAAACAAACAAACCGGAAAGTTTTATTGGTGATATATTGTTATCAGCATATAGATATAAAAGACACGATTCGCGATAATATAACAGTAGTTGGTGGTACAAAGAGTTACACTGTTTTAAGATAAACTATGTAGGATTCTCTCTGATAAGAAAGTTGACTTTTAACTACCGAAACACATGACTTACTTTCATGCGATGGAAATATTGAGTGCACGCATTTAACTATATTAAGTTAGAACAGTTTATAGGGTTTTCTTGAAATTTCTACGGTGGTACGTTTAGGTCACTTGATTTTAGTGGAATTGCAGGAATCACGGACGTCTGATTAAAAATTGGAATGATGCAAATTGATGCTATCAGTTTCCCCGATACATATACACAATTTAAAAACATCTTTACAATCCCTTTAATGAAAAACGGCGGATTGAAGGATTCGACAACCTAACGACTGCTTCGTAAATTGGGCCTAATAACACCTTCTTCTCGAACATGACAGTCTTCTAAAATACTCTTTCAAATTGCATAAAATTCAGGTAATTTGGCCGGTACATTGCGAAAACCAAAATTCTACACCGTCATCGTGTACATGTACATGTATTCTATTAAAAGGAGATCATTTCATTTCAATATTTGTTCTTTTTTAATCAGTAATATTCCACAATCTCCAGTAAAAAAATTCAAATGATAGTAAGAAAATACGAGACTAACCTGCGAAAAATAAAAGAAAAATCAACGACAAAATTTTCAGATTCATTTTGTCCCGGCCACTTTCCACATCGCGATCCTGGGTCAGATTTGTGAAATATGTTCGGAGGTCGATTCAATTTGATAAAAGATAAAAAAAGATAAACAAAAATATCGATGTTTGATATATATCTACATCTCATTGATATATACATACCCGTTTGTTGATAACATAACAAATTATGGGATAGCGAAACCCAAATTAGGACAATTTGGCAACCTCTTTGGATGTCGCTACCCCACTATTCATCACTGTTACCATGAAACGGATTGGTTGGAAGTAACGCTGGAACGGGACGGCAGTAAACATCATGTTAGATTTCAATTGAAACGAAAAATATTAAAAAAACCCAAAAAACTAACGGACAGCCTGAAACTTTCTGACCTTATATATCTGGTCTCTGATAGTTATTATTGATAGAGGTCAATCTGAAACTTGTTGACTCTATATTAGCTCCGCCACTGGTGGTCATCATATTCATATGAGAATTACTGAATTTATTGCGATACAATAAGCATCAGTCAGACTTTCATGCGACATATTTGAAAGTTTATATTTCTGAAAACGATAAAGAAGTTTAAATTTCGTGATATAACATGGGAATAAGAGATGGCAATCGTTTGTAGGCTCTATCATCCAGCCCCACTTTGTCCGACACAGCTGTGGCGAAATATATATAATTATCCATCGCAGACAGGAGACATCTGGATGTCAGAGACTTTATCATGTCACTTGGATTGGAATCGAAAGTAGAAATATAATATAACAATATCGAAAGTAGACGTAAAACGAGGCATACGTTTTCCTAGAATGATAAAGGCAGGGTTGATCGACTGTGTTTGTTTTGGATATCGAGTTACTAAGGTCTCGGAAACTTCGGGCACAGCGAATAAGTTTAGTCTTGTGGAACAGCCTTAATTTTGCTGCAGTGAAGAATCGGTAATTAACTCTTTCTTTGTATTTTAAAGATTGTAATTTCAAGCGACGCTTTTAGATATCTTCCTATTTAACAACGTATAATACATTAACATAGCTAGCTTTATTAACCAATTTAGGTCAAATTTAATACGTTGATCTAAATATACTGTCACAGTGTCACTGTATGTAATGGATAGCAGTGTTGAATAAAAACCTGTAGGCCTACAGGAGCCTTTACAGTTAGTCAAAAATCAAAATCGAAAGAAACTGGATAGATAGATAAAAATCGACTAGGGAAATCAAACGTTGTTATTAGAACATTGACCAAAATATTAGTTAAGATGATGATGGGGTTGGGGGGGTTGGTGGAGGCCCGGCATTTTACCCCCTAGAAAAATGGTTTGCACCCCCAATTGTACCTTAACTTTATTTTCAACAAATTTAAGAATACGGTTTTTATAACTTTGCCCCAAAATATGTGTCAGCAATTCACTATGCACCAAATCAATTGGGGCATTTGACCCCCTAGAAAAATGGTTTGCAACCCCAATTGTATCCCAACTTTATTCTTAACAAATTTGAAAATACGTTTTTAAAAGTTGTTGTACCAAAATATTTGTCAGAAATTCATCTCATCGCTAAATTACATAATTACGTAAAAACATCGCTGATAGACGTTCAATTAATTAACCCCCCCCCCCCCCCTATTTCATTAATTATTTTTACTGTTTTTAGAAACATCATGCCCAATCTTACAAAATTTGACCCACCAACTGGGCACGATTGTATGCTTAAAAATGGTCAGTCTACGTCTATATCAACTAGACATCAATGTATTTCTGCCATGAGAGAGTACGAGAACAGCAGTATGGAGGTAAGACATTAGATCAAATAAAATAGAGTTTTACGTCCTACTTTTCTGCACCAAATAACCAGATAGTTCTTCATATATTCAATTAATGGTATTAAAAAGTCGAAGAATCGACAAAATTCCCATTATTCCACATTACACGGCCTTGTCAGTATCAATTAGTCAAATTAAGTGCGAAAAGGAAGGTAACGTAACATTCCATTAATTCTACGTGTAGCATCGCTTTCAGTGCATAGTTATACGTTGAGTTAAACTATTGACTATTTAAAGCCATAGATGAATTTAACAGTTTGTTTCATCGACATAAAATACAATTGTAGTATATGGTTATCATGAATCTAGCCTGTTTTATTTCAGGAATTGAGGTTTGAAGACTACCAAAAACAACCATGGCTATCCAGTCAGACTAAAACGACTTCTACTTTCGTAGCACCATTATTTGGTCGTTCAAAAATCGAACCAACCAATCTAACTCAACAAGAGACCACCAGCAGCTTTTCAGTTTGTACTCCAACAACTGGAGGATCTCTATTTGGTACCACAACAATTAGCAGCAGCTCTCTATTAGATACTCCAAAAACTAGCAGCTCTCTATTTGGTAACCCAACAACTAGCACCAGTTCTCTATTTGGTACTCCAAAAATTAGCAGCTCTCTATTTGGTAACCCAACAACTAGCACCAACTCTTTCTTTGGTACTCCAAAAACTAGCAGCTCTCTATTTGGGACCGCAACAACTAGCACCAGCTCACCATCTGATACCACAACAACTAGCAGCTTTCATTTTGGTACCATAACAACTAGCAGCTCTGTATTTGGTACCACAACAACTAGCAGCTCACCATCTGATACCACAAAAACTAGTAGCTTTCCTTTTGGTACCACAACAACTAGCAGGTCTCTATTTGGTACCTCAACAACTAGCAGCTCTCTATTTGGTAAAACACCATCTAGCAGGTCTCTATTTGGTACCGCAACAACTAGCAGCTCACCGTCTGTTACTCCAAAAACTAGCAGCTCATCGTCTGGTACTCCAAAAACTAGCAGCTCTCTATTTGGGACCGCAACAACTAGCACCAGCTCACCATCTGATACCACAACAACTAGCAGCTTTCATTTTGGTACCATAATAACTAGCAGCTCTGTATTTGGTACCACAACAACTAGCAGCTCACCATCTGATACCACAAAAACTAGTAGCTTTCCTTTTGGTACCACAACAACTAGCAGGTCTCTATTTGGTACCTCAACAACTAGCAGCTCTCTATTTGGTAAAACACCATCTAGCAGGTCTCTATTTGGTACCGCAACAACTAGCAGCTCACCGTCTGTTACTCCAAAAACTAGCAGCTCATCGTCTGGTACTCCAAAAACTAGCAGCTCTCTATTTGGGACCGCAACAACTAGCACCAGCTCACCATCTGATACCACAACAACTAGCAGCTTTCATTTTGGTACCATAACAACTAGCAGCTCTGTATTTGGTACCACAACAACTAGCAGCTCACCATCTGATACCACAAAAACTAGTAGCTTTCCTTTTGGTACCACAACAACTAGCAGGTCTCTATTTGGTACCTCAACAACTAGCAGCTCTCTATTTGGTAAAACACCATCTAGCAGGTCTCTATTTGGTACCGCAACAACTAGCAGCTCACCGTCTGTTACTCCAAAAACTAGCAGCTCATCGTCTGGTACTCCAAAAACTAGCAGCTCTCTATTTGGTTCCGCTACAACTAGCAGCTCTCCTTTTGGTGCCCCAACAACTAGCAGCTCTTCATCTGGTAAAACATCAGTTAGCAGCTCTCCTTTTGGTGCCCCAACAACTAGCAGCTCTTCATCTGGTAAAACATCAGTTAGCAGCTCTCTATTTGGTGCCCCAACAACTAGCAGCTCTCCATTTGGTACCCCAGCGTGGCCAACAAATAGCAACAGCAAACCTGCCCTAACAGCAAAATTTGGAATACGGAGAAATTTCTCTCATGCTAAAATAAACTTTAATGGTCAAAAGAGCCGTCATGGATCATACGATGTTGAGTTTTTTTGTGTAGATTGCTCAAAACAATGTTGCAGTGTATGTCTGGTTGATCACAAGTGGCATGACTGGGAACGAATTGTACTGTACCCAACGAAATCTGCTTCCTTTAAACATGGTGACAACAGCAACGATCAGGTTGTAGGGGATCGTTATGAAACCTGTGGGAATTATTTGCTTCATCAGAAACATGACGATCGACCCAAGGGTCAGGCTGTAGACGATCGAGATGAAACCTGTGGGAAAGTTGATAAACAAGATGACCAGTCCAAGAATCCGGCCGTAGACGATCAAGATGAAACTTGTTGGAAAGTTGATTATTTACTTCATGAATTCGAGAGTTCAATTAACCATCTGGTCAGCCAACAAAACAAAATCAAATCAGAAGGCAAATCAGAAGAATCTCGAATTGAAAAAGAATATGAAGATATTCTCCAGGAAGTTTATCAACGGAAGCTGGACCTCATTCAAAAGGTTCAGACAGTGACGAAGGAAAAATGCCAAGACCTGGACAAAGTGATACAGAATTTAACGGGTTTAAAAGACCAGACTGAGAAGACTCAAAGGCTACTAAAGCTAAGTTTAAAGTTCTCCAAGCTTTCTCAAACTAGTTTTTCAAATTTAAAACTCAAGATGGACGAATCTAAAGATGGTTTAAACGAGTATAATAATCCTTACTCGGATATCATCCACAAATTTGAGCCGCAACAACATGGTAATTTTTCGGACATCTTGCAAAACCTTTCAATTATTGAAACCAAAATATGGCGCAACTCATCACCTCTTAATGAATTAAAATTGAGGAACGAGCATCAAAAGTCAAAAATTTCTGACACTAAGTTCAAAATACGGAATTTAACTGACCGTAATGATATATCCGAAATTGAGACGCATTCGGAGGAAGATCGAGAAAAGGAAGATTGTCCGACTTTTTCGACCTCTGATAATGGGCAGGTCATGAAACACAGTGATTCGGGACTCGGCAATGAGTTGACGACTGAAATTGGTTCCGAGAAGGAGTTGATCTCTAAAGAAATCCGGTATCAGAATCAGAATGATCCAACGCCATTGGACGAGACTGGAACCCGTTTCAGGAATGAGGTGAACTCTAAAGACAGCCAGGATCGTGATCAGAACCAGATTGTTAGTCCGGAAATAAAGGTTGAAGCAGACCATCAGAGTCCGACACCATTGAACGAGTTTGGAAACAGTTACAGGAAAGATGTTTTGTCTAAAGACAGCCAGGATTGTGATCAGAGCAAGAATGATCGACCTGAATTAAATGAAGCCAACGTTGATACCGAGGCTCGCGAAGACCATCACTCAGACTCCGACACCATTGAACGAGTCTGAAACCGATGTGTCAGAGGTGATCTCAAGAGACAACGAGGTTTGTCATCAGAATCAGCAGAATCAGTTGGAATTGAATGACGTTGACGTTGACCATCGGAATCTGAACAATTGAAATAGCATACCTTACGTATGACATTACAGCCATCTATATTAATATGTGATATAGGCTTAGCAACCGTAACTATGGGGGTGTGGCTTATTATGTGAATCTCGGAGCTATCTATCGATTAGAGACTCTTAATACCATGTCTTCTCGTCGGCTATTGAATTACTAGCTCGGGCCTTATTCTTGAAAACTTAACTTACGATGATTTTAAAGTCAATCACAAAAATGGATTTTAAATTTAGTTTTATTATCCAATCAGATCGTTCTACTGTATTTCTTCAGTGTGGATTTGATCTTGGTTACGTTTTAAACATCAGATTTTTTATCCAATCTTTATTTTTTCTTGCTTTGTCTTTGAATCTGCGTAAAACTTGTTTTTTTTTGTTGATATTTTGTAACATGCTTTTATTCTTTTTAAAATGTAAGTTTTTTTCTTCAATTTTAATGGTTGGTGATTTTGGGCTTCCGTGAAAAAGAGTTTTCGGGTCCGGGATAAGATGTCAGATATCCTTTACAAGACTTAAACACGCTTGCCATCCGTAAGACCATTGGCCAATCGTTCCTAAGTCTCAGAAACGGATTTTTTTTTAGCTAAGCCAATCAGTAATAGTGTTCACTGCTTACCGTCAAATTTGAGCCTTCAAATCCATGTGTTTCCATTATTACCCTCGTTTGAAATGATACATTGATGAGTCTTCTTTTCTTGAGACTCTGCGACGTTGGGGCAAATCCCACTCGAGCATGCACTCGCCGTATTTCCCATTAAAGCCTTGTCGACAAGACGTACCAAAACCCCAGGAAAACCAGTAAAGATAGAAATAGAAAGTAAAGTTTCTAGTTTGATGTATATTCGAAGGGATTTCGTACAGTTCTTGTACTCCCGAAGACTTTTCATATTGTATACATGGCCCAAATCTACCCACAAAATTGATAATAGTTGTCCTGTAACATTGTTATTGTATATGATTGTTGAATGGGTAACACTATGTGGTGCTATGACTAGGTATCTCGGGGTAATAGCACAGTGATTCAAGGGGGATAACTGATCACATAAAAATTCTACAAATCAAATACTAACTGGAATACGACAAATATCAAAAATAAATTTTGTATGATATTAAAAAAGGAATGGAAAAAAAAATGGCGCAATGGAGCTCTATGTACAATGAAGCCTGTAACATACCGGACCTTTTCCTAATAACGCTATACATTGATAAAATATTTCCACTGTTAAAATAGTGCTCAACACAATCATGTATTTCTAATAATACTATAAAATGTTTATTCATAAAAATTAAGAATTCATAATTATAATGGTATAAATTTCATTAATGATGATAATTGATTAACATGCAAATCTTGATATCTCGTGTCGTGTTTTATCGGCGGGTGATTTCATTTGTCATGTATGATCTGACAGTGTTTTTGGTTGTTTAACATAACATGACAACTTTCAAAATGATAAACAGGAAAATATTGAATCTTTTTCTGACATCAGTTGCTCGAATTACAAAAATCGATTTTAAATTTAATAAGTAGGCGGAGATATGTACAGAAAGCAAAACTATCAAATTACAAAAATAATGTTAAAATTAATCAGCGAAAGTATCTACTGAAGGAGTATCATGTCGGGAATTTTCTCGATTCGGATGAATCGTGGGAAAGCGAAACCAAAAGTAGAGCAAGATGAGTGGGTTTATGCTAGAATTTGGCCTTCATGACACGCTAAAAACAACGTCATAAGAACGTGTTAAAAACAATACAGGTTAGAATACAATGGAAACGAAAAATTTCGAAAATAATAGAAACGAAATTGCTATCTATTTGTAATTGGGCTGAATCTAAAGTGATTATATTTGAATCTGGGTCTCAGCACTTAAAGAAAGATAAAACCACTCTTCTTCATTAATGAAACCTTTCTCCGGCATGACTAATTGGGCCCAGGAAATAATATCTGTCCATTCGTACCAGTTTGCTGCAGTAAATAAGAATTGGTCCCGCTTTTCTATGCTGACCTCGTTTCTCCAATTCAATATGGCCAATTTAAAATTTGCCAGCACCCTGCCTTTAAAGGTCTTGGGATCCACGTTGAGTCGCAATCTTAAGTTAAGCATCTGTTGGCCGTGGACGTCAATAATCCATGCCACTGTTTCGTCAGTTGTGGTAGATCGAGTTGTAAGGGTTTGTGTCATTTGTCCAAATCCATATTCGCGTGATGCTAGTGGTAGCAACAATTGACCTACCATAGTGCCAGTATGGTTCAATGATGAATTGTTGGTCGAAAGAGACTCATTTTGTGGTCGAGAGGAAGCTTGACGCTGCTGAGCAGCTTGCTGTTGATAATTTGATTGTTGATGCTGTCCAGAGTCCAAAGTCATCGATGGTGATGCAAGTGATGTCGTGGAAAATCCGCTTGCAGCTAGGCTTGTAGGTATGATTGGTTGTGGATAATTTGGATGATTCTGCCCAGAGTGCAGCGATTGTACAGTAGTTAATGGTGTAGAAGTCCCGACTGCTTCCATCGGTGGTCGTATAGGTGTTGGGTTATGTACAGAGGGCTTCTGATTAAATTCCACAGGCATTGTTTGTCGAAATGTGCAATATCCGATGGACCCAGGGACATTTCCTGTTGAATCTTGAAAATTTGTGGATGAGGAGTCCACAGTTACTAATTTCTGCCGGGATGCGAGTGGTGTGTTCGAGTACCCTGCTCCTTCAAAGATCCTTTCACCTTGTTCCACCATGGACGGTACATTGCTATCCAAACGTGGTGTACTGGTTTGCCGTGTTGGTGTAGAACTGTTGGCCTGGAAAGGAACAGAAAACTGCGTTCCCGCAGGAACAATAACTATGTTGTGGCCAAGTTGTGACTGGTTGTATGGGAGATCTTGTGTTAGCATTGACTTTGGTTGGTTGATCCCTCTAGAGGGCAAATATCCGCCATTAGAAATGTTTTGGGGGTCTGGTCGAGATGGAATTTGATAAGAAGAATGTATGCCAGTCTGGTTCGAATCAGGATGAGATGTATGTTCGAAACTTTGAAGGTGACCAGTTTGTAGCTGAGAGGTTTCAGATGGTCGTGAGTACGTTGTTGCCCATGTTCTTCCCATCTGTTGGGGGTCACTGGTTACCGGTTCAGAAGTCTGCGTCGATTGATTCGCTCTAGTGGTCTCTGGTGTGGAATCGTCGAGGTTCGTCGTCTGCTGAGAGATCTTCCTTTGAGTCTGTACAGGTATTTGAAGGTCTGTCAGAGCATTTGCTATTTCGGTTTTAAACATGTTTCTAATTTCCAATCTTAATTCGTTGGTTGGTCCCTCTGTTAAAGAATGCGATATTGTTGATTCACTTGTTGGAGATTGAAGTTTTCCAACAGCTGGCCTCAAAATTGGTTCTGTCTGTACCCCTGCAATTCGTGTTTGATCCATTGTATCCTCTGTCTCACTGTGTGAAGAATCGGAATCCTCGTCTACAAGAAGACTTTGTAGATCGTGATGACCATTTAACAGATCTTCAACAGATGCCGGCTTGTTTCTACCGCTGGCCACTCTTCTCGGAGCATCTCCTCTTGGTCGACCACGTCCAATCGTCTCTTCAGTAGACTCCACTCTTCTGGTGTTAAGTTGTCGAGTACGCTCAATCGGTGTTCTGTCAGTGCGTTCAACCATACTTAAACCCCCAAACATGTCAATCAAAGAGTCGACATCACAAGGACTGTCTTCTAATGGTGGTAACGATACATTCTGTATTGCTCGGTTTCGATCTGGAACTATAATTACCTCAAGCCGCTTAGAAAGTTTCGGCATCTTTGACACCACATCTTCAATTGTTTCATAAACGTAACTCTCGGAGATTTCATCCACCAACATTTTCAGTTTTCGTTTGTGTTTATTACTGTTGTCTTGCGCCTCCTGGAGAATCAACTGTTGTTCCTTTCTTTGTTTGGAAAGTTGCTCTTTCAATTTTTTACCGTGGGATTTGATGTGGTGGCAAAATTTACGGACCCTGTCATCTATCTCATCTTCAACTTCAAAGCTCCGTTTTTTAATCTCCGATTTCTTTTCGTTTACTTCTGTGTTAAAATCGTTGATATGATCGATCTCCTTTTTGGCCTCTTCTTTCAGTTTTTCTAAATTTTCTCGGACTTTTGTCCCAAAATCTTGCAGATCGTCAACGTCATGATGTTGGTGTGAATTCAGGAAACATTTTGGACAGATTATAGACCGGCAATCCGAGCAGTAAAACGCCCCACGACGTTTGTGAAGTCGACATACATCTTCTTTTTTTTTACGAACAACGGGCTCTCTAAAAAATTGAGAAATTAATTAGTTGCCACTTGGACGAAAACAAGTCACAATTGAGTGAGTTTTAAACATAACAATGGCAAAGAAATAGGATATGTGGATAGTACAGTCGGTAGAGAGTTGTGTTGTTGTCTGTTATAATAGTGAGATAGTTCAGTCTGTAGAGAGTTGTGTTGTTGTCTGTTATGATAGTGAGATAGTTCAGTCTGTAGAGAGTTGTGTTGTTGTCTGTTATGATAGTGAGATAGTACAGTCTGTAGAGAGTTGTGTTGTTGTCTGTTATGATAGTGAGATAGTACAGTCTGTAGAGAGTTGTGTTGTTGTCTGTTATGATAGTGAGATAGTTCAGTCTGTAGAGAGTTGTGTTGTTGTCTGTTATGATAGTGAGATAGTACAGTCTGTAGAGAGTTGTGTTGTTGTCTGTTATGATAGTGTGATAGTACAGTCTGTAGAGAGTTGTGTTGTTGTCTGTTATAATAGTGAGATAGTACAGTGTGTAGAGAGTTGTGTTGTTGTCTGTTATGATAGTGAGATAGTACAGTCTGTAGAGAGTTGTGTTGTTGTCTGTTATGATAGTGAGATAGTTCAGTCTGTAGAGAGTTGTGTTGTTGTCTGTTATGATAGTGAGATAGTACAGTCTGTAGAGAGTTGTGTTGTTGTCTGTTATGATAGTTAGATAGTACAGTCTGTAGAGAGTTGTGTTGTTGTCTGTTATGATAGTGAGATAGTACAGTCTGTAGAGAGTTGTGTTGTTGTCTGTTATGATAGTGAGATAGTACAGCCTGTAGAGAGTTGTGTTGTTGTCTGTTATGATAGTGAGATAGTTCAGTCGGTATGGAGTAAGATTGTATGAACAGTGGAACAGCTAAATTGGTAGAGAGTAGGATTGTCGTCTGCTAGTCGATTAGGTGCCACGGAGTCGAATGCTTCTCATGGAAAAAAAAATGATGCCAAACGACCAACCAATTCTAGTTTAAGCTATAAATGACGATGATACCATCGAAAAGATTCGAACCTGTGAGTGCTGAGTGAAATTGCCCTGCCACTTTCAGTCCTGGAATTGACTGTACCGGTATCTGTTTGATGCTCACTCTGGCCACCAGTCTGAAATTGCCAAATTAATCTATATTTAGTAACATGTGTTAGTTTTAAAGGGCACACCCAGCAAGGCTTCCAAGGGATATAATGCACAGTCTACTCTTATTTCAGGGTAGGATAAGTAGTATTGTTACCAATGCTGTTAACACTTGTATGCTTTTCGTCAATGCCAATTCTACCTTGACCATTTATGTATACGTACCCGATGTCCAGGTGTGCACAAATATATTTTATTAACGTTTAATATTTACAAATCCCACATGGGCATTAATATGTTTGACCAAATATACACGATTTAAAAGGCCTAGTTTTTCTGTCTCTACACCAGCTGACAACTGACAAAATGATTTTCAGGGGCTGGAGTAAAGGCAGATGTTTCTGAATATATACACATCAGCAAGCCTAGAGAGCACTAACCATTCCATTCCCGAGGAGTCAAGTACAGATGATATAATGAAATCTTAACAAATTGATGCTTACCTCAATTATATTCGGAATGAAATTCCGATGTTGTCGTGTAATGACCGTAGTAGCAATTGTATCTGCTGATGGTTGGGTATTTTGACTTGAAACTGTTGTCAATCCCAAAGTGGTCCCGGGGTTCAATATTCCAAATATATTTGGATTTGTTGCCATCGACGCTGAGTTTGAATCACCAAATAGCGGAATGGATGCCGAGTTTGTGCTGCTCATGACATTTGCTGATGGTTGAGTAGTTTGTTTAGGACTTGAAACTGTTGAAAATCCAGGAAAGGTCCCGAGGTTCCGTGTTCCAAAAATGTTTGGTTTAGTTGCCATCGGCGCCGAGCTGGAATCACCAAACACAAAGGGTGCCGAGTTTGTGCTGCTCATGATATTTGCTGATGGTTGAGTAGTTTGTTTAGGACTTGAAACTGTTGAAAATCCAGGAAAGGTCCCGAGGTTCCATGTTCCAAATATATTTGTATTTGTTGCCATCGGCGCGGAGTTTGAATCACCAAACACAAAGGGTGCCGAGTTCGTGCTGCTCATAATATTTGCTGATGGTTGAGTAGTTTGTTTAGGACTTGAAACTGTTGTCAATCCAAAGGTGGTCCCAGGGTTCCTTGTTCCAAACATGTATGGTTTAGTTACCATCGGTGCGGAGTTTACATCACCAAACACAAAGGGTGTCGAGTTTGTGCTGCTTACTACACCTGATGATGTTTGTTCTGTAACAGAGTTCACTACATCTGATAATGGTTGTTCTGTTACAGAGTTTATTACATCTGATGATGGTTGTTCTGTAACAGAGTTCACCACATCTATTGATGGTTGTTGTTGGTCAGAGGTTATTACACCTGATGATGGTTGTTCTGTAACAGAGTTCACCACATCTATTGATGGTTGTTGTTGGTCAGAGTTTATTACACCTGATGATGGTTGTTCTGTAACAGAGTTCACCACATCTATTGATGGTTGTTGTTGGTCAGAGTTTATTACACCTGATGATGGTTGTTCTGTAACAGAGTTCACCACATCTATTAATGGTTGCTGTTGGTCAGAGTTCACTACAACTGATGATTGTTGTTCTGTTACAGAGTTCACTACATCTGTTGATGGTTGTTCTTCTTCCTCATTATTAACATCATGATCAACATCATCTATTGTAGTAGCAGCATCAACATGAGTTCCGGTATCGTCAATACGTTCATTCTTCCCAGATGCGTCATCGTCATCCATCCCTAAAGCGTCACCGGAATTACAATCTTTATCCTCTTCATCTTCATTATCATCATCATTTTCAATAGTAGATTCAGAATAAGTAGTTTTAATGTAGTCGAATTCTCGTAAAAGTGACGAATTTTCTGCAAATCCATTATCTGCTGCGTGATCGACAATCTTCCTTTGTGAGTCGTCATTTATGCTTTGCTCGCCATCTACATTCTTCATTGATCTACCATCGTTGTTCTTGTGTGATGCGTCATCGTCATTCATCTCTGCTGCGTCTTGAACAATATTCCTTTGTGCGTCATCATTTATGCTTTGTTCCACATTTGGGGTATTCATTATTGCATCATCTTCATTCTTCTCTGCTGCATTAATGTCACTCTTCGTAGTGTCTGGCAATGGTCCACTTTCAATCCCAGAAGATCCAGTGGATTGATATTCTGTCTTTGATGTAGTAGTGTCATTTTCTGGTTTTCTTGGTGTTTTTCCTTTCAGATTTCTAGAAGCACATTTTTGTCCATCTCGTTCTGGTAGCTTTTTAGGTGCTGAAATGACTTTTAAAGTTCCACCGAGAGTCTTGGATTGCTCTGATGTTATCTGTTCACCTTGATTGTGCTCATGACACTTGCCAGTTTTGTTTTCACCAGATGGTAATGGTACACTTTCAATCCCAGAGAATACAGTGGGTTGATATTCTGTCTTTGATGTAGTAGTGTCATTTTCTGGTTTTCTTGGTGTTTTTCCTTTCAGATTTCTAGAAGCAAATTTTTGTCCATCTCGTTCTGGTAGCTTTTTAGGTGCTGAAATGACTGAAATTCCACCGAGAGTCTTGGATTGCTCTGATGTTATCTGTTCACCTTGATTGTGCTCATGACACTTGCCAGTTTTGTTTTCACCAGAGCCCTTTCCGGACATCTTATTTCTTTTGAGTAGAGATTCTTTACCGAATTCATCATCTGAATGTATATCATTTGAATTACTAGGAGCGAGGGTGTGATTTGGTTGATGCTCAACACTATTACTATCACGTGACATGCCTTGGTCGTTTTCATTCTCGGCTTTTGTAGCATTGTCTCCTGATGAAGAAGTCACCGGTATCAAGTGTGCCTCTTTATTCATTTTCCTATCAGACAGAGGATGTACTTTAGAATCTGTTGCGTTATTACCGTTCTTCTCTGCTGCGTTAACGTTATCCTTCTTTGGTACATCAGCGCCATTGTTCGCTTTTGCATCATCGACATTCTTCCTTGATGCTTCATTGTCATTCTTCCCTAATGTGTCATCGTCATTCTGCTCTGGTGCATCATCTTTCTTGTGATCTGACAACAGTTGGATTTTGTCTTCACCAGAGCCCTTTCCAGACAACTTTACATTATCAAAATGCAGATCATTTACATTACCAGGGGCGAGGGTAGTGCAAGTGACTTGGACAGATTTGTCCTTTTTACCAGCTTTAGGATCTATTCCAGGTTCACTTTGAGTTTGTTTCGCGACATTGGTGGACGATTGGTGATTTGGTTGATGCTCAAAAACATTACTACTTTGTTCCACATATGGGGTATTCATTAATGCACCATCGTCATTCTTCTCTGCTGCGTCTTCATTCATGTTTTGCTTGTCATCTATAATCTCCTCTGGTGCGTTAAGGTCACTTTTCGCAGTGTCTGGCAATGGTACACTTTCAATCCCAGAGAATACAGTGGGTTGATATTCTGTCTTTGATGTAGTAGTGTCATTTTCTGGTTTTCTTGGTGTTTTTCCTTTCAGATTTCTAGAAGCAAATTTTTGTCCATCTCGTTCTGGTAGCTTTTTAGGTGCTGAAATGACTGAAATTCCACCGAGAGTCTTGGATTGCTCTGATGTTATCTGTTCACCTTGATTGTGCTCATGACACTTGCCAGTTTTGTTTTCACCAGAGCCCTTTCCGGACATCTTATTTCTTTTGAGTAGAGATTCTTTACCGAATTCATCATCTGAATGTATATCATTTGAATTACTAGGAGCGAGGGTGTGATTTGGTTGATGCTCAACACTATTACTATCACGTGACATGCCTTGGTCGTTTTCATTCTCGGCTTTTGTAGCATTGTCTCCTGATGAAGAAGTCACCGGTATCAAGTGTGCCTCTTTATTCATTTTCCTATCAGACAGAGGATGTACTTTAGAATCTGTTGCGTTATTACCGTTCTTCTCTGCTGCGTTAACGTTATCCTTCTTTGGTACATCAGCGCCATTGTTCGCTTTTGCATCATGACATTCTTCCTTGATGCTTCATTGTCATTCTTCCCTAATGTGTCATCGTCATTCTGCTCTGGTGCATCATCTTTCTTGTGATCTGACAACAGTTGGATTTTGTCTCTCACCAGAGCCCTTTCCAGACAACTTTACC